ATGAGGCTCTGGTCTTAATTTGCACGAGAGCTCTTCATTAGCCCTGCCACTCCCCCAGCTACCCATTTCATAACAGGTATTAAGTGGCTAGATGGAGTAAAGAGGCGCCCAGAGCTCTTCTCTCAATTACACAAGAGCCCTTCTCTGCTCAGACTCACATGGCCAACTGGAAGACAGAGACACAGGCACATGCTGTGGACTGGAATGCATTGTAACTCACAGGTCAAAAACTTTGTATTATGTTACAGGAACAATACAGAAGTGAGTCTTTGCTAATATTTTCACAATGAATTGTAATCGTTTGGTTTCTAACCCGCGGCTAAAACTGCCTTAGGCCATGGTACCAAAACCCCTGATGCGCAGGACCATATTGATTAAAAATGAATAACACTGACACACGAGAGCTGTGAAGTGGCACCAAAATCTTTCAAGTAACAGAGAGTCCTTAGAGGGCTTTCCTTCCTGGCTTGGCCACACGTATTCCCCTTTCCTTAAAGAAGAACTCCAGACAACGTACCATGAAAATGTGTAATGAGTACTACGCAGTGTCAACCTGGACACCTATTAGTGAAAAGGTAAGAATGGAAGTAATTTTTTAATAGAATTTTTCATATTTCATGATATCTACTGTACTGTATGTACCAGACGTCCCACTCAAGAGAGTTAAAACAAGCTGATCTGGACACAAGCTTCTTCCCTTCACCAGACCTACAGTACTGAATTAAGCCTGCACTATGTCTAGCAAGGCAAGCTGAGACATAAGGCTCAACCTGCTCCACTGCAGAGCTCTTATTAATGTCGAGGCTTCTGATCCACTTAAAAGAATCTGGTTGTGTAAGCAGCTCGTGGAGCAGGGTTAAGACCATCAGTTAGGATAAACAGATTAAACTCCTCTCCAGGAAGGAGCCCTTCCTTCACCCTCTCTTTTGTTTCCCAGTCTCCTCTGACTATGGCAAACTCTTAAGCTTTACTGTGACTGACCATCTGACATCGACACTGTTGTACATGGAAACTTGGTTTTTCCAACCAATCCTCTTTTAGGCTCATTTGTTTATTTATTCTTATGACGACTTGACTAAATTCAACTGCCTTGTGATAACAGATGCTTCTTGAAGGCATTCTCCAGAAGGAAAAACAACCTAGCATATTACTTCTCTGTCCTATTTAAAGAAATGTAGAATTCACCATACATTATTTAAAAACTTGAATTAAGGATAAAGGCTATGTTAGTGGCTTCTGTGAGGATTCTAAAAACTAAAACAAATTTAACTTGCATTGTATTACCGTATGTACATGCATCATTATTACAGTATATCAATGTCTATCTTCTAAGAAATATCCTTTTATATGTGCACACATATTTATTTGAATGATTTAATCAGCACCTGACACTAATGTGTCTTAGGCCCAGTTAAAGCAATCCAAATCTTGATAACAGACCTGCAGTCATAAGGCTCAGAAAGTTTGCTTTGTTGTTGACAAAAAGAGAATCTGCAGACTCACTGTGCTGTGTTATCAGGTAAAGCCCCAAAGGAGCTCTTTATAGTAAAGTCTTTGTTCTGTTAGCCCAGGTATTCTTCTGGATCCTGAAGCAGAATTTTGTACTTTTCTTTGTTAGAAATTTGTATTGGCCACCTGTTTCTCAAAGAAACCGTTGTGCATGTTTCAATTCAGGACGATAAGGGTTGGGAATCGAAAGGAGAGAGTCAGGAATTTTCGCCAAATTTCACTAAAGACTCATTGCCTGATTCTCTGGGGTCTACAAACTGGCTACAGGTGGATGATTTTCTGATTTGCGGAGATGTTTTCCTCATAAACATGGAGTGCCTGATTTAGCAACAGTCATGTGTTTTTAAAACAAAAATGTGTTAACTGGCATTTAAATGTCAGCTTCTTTGGGTAAAGCTTTCTGGTCTGGCTAATGTAAACAAATTAACTTAGAAAGATAAAACATTACCTTTCCATATTCAAGTTGTGACTGCCTGGGGCCGTAAAACACAAGACACCCCTCCCTCTTCTTTCCCATCCTATCTGACACATCTGATGTTTCTTCCAAAGGCCTACAGTACTGAAAACCAAACAATGGACCTGACCTTGTCTCTGTGTCGCCATGGAGACATGGCCTACCTATAAACCATTCCACTATGCTCCTGGCAGTGTTGCCCGGGCTTTGTGCCCTTTACAGGCTCTAAAACAACAGGAGCTACATCCTGCTACCTCAGCATGCTCCAACAACACAGTCCAGTCCTGGCACTGAGCACTTCATGGGGCATATTAAGAGACCATACAGAATTTTGAAAGATTACCATTAATATCATATCATCCCATTTTGCCCGCTTACCTTAGAATCAATTGTCACAGCAAACCTTTATAAGGTACTGGTTATCTATATGTATGACCCACTGGAATAGTATGTTTAAGAAACATAAAAGGTTATGGTTACTAATCCATAACTGTGGAAAAGCAAAAGTAAAATGGAAATATTTGCTGTTTGTTTTTGGTTAAAGAAGAAATGTACAGAAATATATGTTTCTTCTTCTGTTTCTTCTTAAGACCATCTTTCTCCAAGCAGAGAGGCAGAGGTTCGTCTGCCTCTTCCTCTCGTATCCTAACTATAGAGAACACATCTTAAGAAGAGTCATTGGAGCCTGCTTATAACAGCCTGGACACACAACACTGCTCAGCTCTCCCAGAAAAGCATATCTGACACGAAGAACAATGTAAGAACCCTATCACATATCAATGACGCCAAATAAACCTGTCAGTCAAAGCGTGCCCTTAAGAGCTTTCACTTTCCTTCAGATTAAGTTCCCTTTCATAGTTGTTTTTTTTCATTTCCTGTCCTGAACCTTGTGTGTTTGCACTATTGAGAATTGATACTTTTTGTCTCCATGTACAGAAAGCACAGCAACATGTGAGCAAGCAAAGAACGGCACCAGGAAGTCAGGCACATTAATCAATGAGGACAGCAAACACATACATGCAAAATGAGAGTGCAATTGCTCATTATCAAAACACGCACAAACAAACTCCCACTTCAATACGGTGTCAATGTGTCATTTAATGTGCTTCTCAAGATCTAGGCTACATGTACTGTAGGTGGCACACTTTCTCAGAAAGAAATGTAATTTATTAATCACACAGCACACAGCCAAAGGCTGGAGAAGCTTTTGCATTTCACAACAAAACCCCACTCTGTTAGGATCGTTCCTTTTCACTATTCACAAGGTGTGAAGCATCCCATCTTTTTCAATTACCAGATCAAAACAGACAGCAAGCCTCCAAAAGAGTCAGCTTGCATCCGTTTAACGAACTGGGCAAAACCAATCCCCCTGCTTCATTGAATCCATCAACATGGACTCATTAAATCCATCCCATTTTTAGATATTGAACATACTGCACAGTACTGTATATCTGCCATTATTGATGATATGGATAAGAACAAGACTCTCAAGCCTCAGGATTTGTGCCCACTCCTGCATAGCAGCAGATGGTGGACGTTTAAGATGATCTTACCCTGCCTAAAATCCAGATCTGCCTGGCTTTAAAGGACTTGTCTGTGCTGCCAGTTCAAACCAGACTAATCTGTCTCCATGCCCTTGAATACAGTCGCCATATTTAATGGAAGGACTATAGGATCTGGTTGTTATTGACAGTGAGTCAGGACCTAACCTAAGGCTGCCCACTCCTGGTCCTGCAGGGCCAGTTTATCTGCAGGTTTTCATTTTAACTCACTCTGTCTGGGCAAACCCAGCTGGTTTCAGGCTTAACTCTGAGCAATTTAACAGTGCCTCTCAGCTCTTAAGGTGCTGCTTCTTTGAACACCATGAAAATGTGCTCCAGAAACAGGATTGGACATCTCCCCAATAACCAATAACCAACAACAATTAACCAATGAAGAAAACTCCCCAATATCTGCTAGGTGGTAGTCCTTCCAGTATTAATGGCTTTCCATGTGGTGCAGGTGAACAAATCTCAGTGCAGTCAAACTGGAAAGAGGTGCAGTGTACGGTCTCTTTGTACAGTAGCTGCTGTAAAGCTGAGCTGTGTCAGCTGACAGGGACTGTCACCATGGCAGACAATGGTCTGTGAGCTCACAGTGTCACAGGAGCCTGGGTCTCATCAAACCCATGATGTAAGAGCCTGTACGATATAGGAACACAACTATAATTGCCCCTGCAACTTGTTCTCCTGGGGCTGTCCCAGAGAGAGTTTCTTAAAAGTGTCTGTCAACTCCAGGCAAGCAGTGAGCTCCCCTGCCCTTTACCCACACAACGGTCATTCGTTTTCTTCCACATCTGCTGCTAAAATGACATTGTTGCCAACTGGGACAATCAGAAGTCTGCCTGCTGAAAATCTGATTACAAGTTAATGGCAGCATGTGATAACAAATGATCTGAATCTTCTAACTTGGCCTAAGGACTTGTTCATTTATTTATACAGTATACAGTACTTGTTTAGATGGGAGAGGCAGAATAACAGCACTGTATCTTTTATACACTACATGTACTAAGGGGACAAAAAAAGAGACTCAAAACATTGCTGTTGAGGGATTTTTCAACCAAGCAGTTTGACTGCTGAGGCACAGAAAAATTACACATTGCTGTCACGTTGTGAATCTTCTTTTGCAAACTGTCCACTGGCTTCATAATCCCAAGTGCACCCCACCTCTACCCCACATCATCCCCCACTTCATCACAGCTTTTCTCAGCCAGCTCAACCTGAAAGCTATACCTCAAGAAAACCAACTGGATCAAGTACTTTCAGGCACATCACTTAGGTTAGAATGGAATAAAAACTGAAGTGACACAGTCTGCAGTATGTTTGGTGAACATAACACAACACATTTATTTCAGAGAAGTACACAACAAACACAAGATGTCAGCTTCGTGGTTGTGTAGTACAGATAATATTGCCACTAAGCACCTTTGACTGGCGATGTGGAATAACTGCAGTCATATCTCTGGAGAAGCACAGGTAATTGAATATAAATGTCTCACCTGGTCATCGACTTTATGGGCCACTATAGAGGCTGACTCCTCCTGTTCTGCATCACTCAGTGGGCGAATTCGCAGGGCCACCTGGACACATTTGAAACACAGAGATCAGCACTTCGGCAGCAGGATCAGACTTTCACATGACAGAGCGCCTCAGTTTTACAAGCTTGTTAAAGCAAACTGGAATACTTTCAGTGAGCACACTGACTCAAATCTTGCTTTCTGCTTAATCAGATCAAGTGTAATGATCTTCAGTCTATTGCAGAACAATAAACTTTTATTTATTATTATATTATATGGTAATATTGGCAAATATTTATTTAATTCCAGTTACCTGGTATCATTTATTATAAAGTGTAATGATACTGGAGCGGTCACACATTGCGAGAGAGACATTTGGGACTCAGATGCCCTAGGCCAATGTGTCTTGCTGTAGACTAGAAAGACATCATGACACTTACAGTATATAGCACTTTTATAGACACTCCACTCAACTTACCACACAGCAGCTATCAGTGGGGAGGAGAACAGAGCAATGAAGCCAATTAATAGATGGGGATTATTAGGAGGCCATGATTGAAAAAGGCCAGGGTGAAATTTGACCAGGACACTGGATGAACACCCCTACTCTTTGTGAGAAATGCCCTGGAATTTTTAACGACGACGAAGGGTCTTGGTTTTACATTTAATCCGAAGGATAGTGCCTATTTTACACTATAGTTTTCCCATCACTATACTGGGCATTAGAACACACACAGGTGCAGCCTTTGCTTTCCCAGAAGGTCTCCCATCCAGGTGCTGACCAGGCTCACACCTGTTGAGCTCCATTGGGCTGCCTGTTGGGAGCCACAGGGTGATAGAGCTGCCAGAAACAATATGGCAACAGGAAGGCTTCTCTGTGGGAAAAAAAGACTCTGGTCCCCTTTTGAGCGTGTTTGCTCTTTCCAACTAAAAGTGAACCCCCTTACTTACATCCAGTCATGGTGTGTGAGGGGACAGGAGTAGAAATAGGGGCTCCTGCGTATGGGCTTGGAGAAGAGGAGTTTGAGGTGTGCGGGGTGAGCTGCATCACTGTGTTCATCTGTCTGGACCCCTGTCAAGCTGTCTGATTCCACGTTTTGCCTGCCTCTTTAGTGTGCTTTGTGCTGTTCTTTACAGCTTAGAAGAGTGCCTGTTCCTAACCCTCAGAACTGACCAAACACAAAGTAAAGCTGTTACATTTTGAAACGACTAAGATTTATTCTGCATTTCTTCCTCAGCCTCATACAAACTCAGCTCGAGCTCGTCTGAAGTGTGAGGCTCAAGACAGCCTCAGTCATCCCTGCCCCAAACGTGAGAATATGTTTGACAAAAAGTAAAATCATCGGATCAAAAAACGTATTCAGGTTATAGGATAAAGAGGCCCAAAGCTGCAATATTTATCATGCGGATAATTTTGCATCCCTGCTGGTTGCTGTCTCTGCCAGCAAAATTTTAAAGGTAGAAGGTCGCAGTCAGGAGAAAAACATGTACTGTAAATCTTTGCTCCAGAAATATTTCAGAGAAAAAGATGTCAGGATTTGATTTTTTATCAAATAAAACTCCCACCATTTCCCTGCATGACAATAGTGCTACTTTTAAAACTAACTAGATTAATTTAAAGAATGGATATCCCGTCCTGGTTTTAGTTCTGTTGCAAGGAGAGATATACAATAGATTATTGTATAACAGCGATTATTGTCGCTGTTGCTAGTTGCTTGTACAAATGCTCACACAGCAGCAAAAAGGTATAAGCATGTCAATTGAGAAATACATTTGTGAAGCAGTCAAGGGAGAAACATAAATGTTGAACGAGGGGAGCTATTTTTGTGCTATTTTTACAATGTGACAGTACCGATGCTTGGAGAACGGAAATATCCATGCATTACTGAAGCACAGGGCAAGAGCACAGGACTGCACTGTAATCGTTATTTGGGCAGTAAGATTAGGAACCAGTTAATTTAAACCTCAAAGCCGTTATTTTAATCTGGCTGCCTAGTTAAACTGATAACAGTCTCTATGCTCGATACGTTTAGCACAAATTCTGAATTAACATCAGTGTTTCTAAAAGCAATAATAGGAAAGTTAGGAAATAATATATAAAGCTTCATTCAGTTGACTTCATAGATACTGTGAATTACGAATAAGGCGTTATTCATGCATTTGACAGCTTGTGTGATCGAGCTCATGCTTCTTAAATGTGTCATTAATGTTCATGCCGCTTACAAGCAGACCTATCACCTAGTACAAAACTTCGAATTTGAAACTTGATTTTGTGAAAGAAACCGGTCTGGCCCAAGGATATTCTCTCGGGGTGTGAGTACCGTAGGTTGTGCTGGTTTGGTGCTTCTAATGTAAATCACTTCAGGTTGGGTTTTGATGATCTATTTTTGGAAAGAGGAATCTGGACGAAAAACATTTAAAAAAAACAACATGATTTTTCTAAAATGATGCTGTCCGACAAAACTGACTGATAATTTAGGTAACGATCACGTAGAGCATCAATTCTTTTATTTGCACGATAAATTACTGTTTAGCACAGCCTATAACAGTAACAGTTCTGAGCTCTCGGTCGGTCCACGTCTATTCCTCGTTCACACAGGAGGAGTACGTACAGATCACTTACCGTGAGTTGCTGGTCCTTTGATTCACCTGTGTCTTTCATGGCTTAGATAATTCGGTAGCTCAATGTGCTGCCGAGGTCGAGTCGAGTACGATTCTGCTCTACCTTAAGACAAAGACCCACAGGGCATGGAAAGGAGCAGCCGCATGGCTGTCCGACACTCGGAGCTCCAATGCAGTGGTCGATAAGGTTATCTTTGGCGATTCCTCTTTGGCTACGAAGCAGTATTTCTAACATTCACGGAGAGTCTCCGACTTCATCACCTGTGCAGCCCGTCCAGTTCATTGCTGGGGAAACGAACACTGCCAGATCCGTAGCTGATTAGAATCGACCGAGAGCAAACACTATAAATGAATAATTTAGTGTTGATAGGTTAGCTTAACTAACCATTACTTCAAACGTCACCCCAATAGATTTTTTTTTATGATGAGGTGTGGAACCAGTTCTGCTCAGTTTTGGTCTCCACCATTCTAGAAAAACAAATCCCACAGTATTTATATGCGAGCTGAGTATATAGAGTAACAGTAACCGGTCTGGTCAGCGGCTTATCTGTAAACCTTTCACTCTGTCTCCCTCCCCTTTTCTCTCACCGCTTGTGTGTTGTTTTCCTGGATCCCTTAGAGATCGGCACTGAGGTATATGTACACAACAGCAGTCTTCGCAGCCTGACATGAGGTAATTACTGTATGCGACGCTCACGCTCAAAGTCAAAGCACCCTTTAAGCTACGAATGCACGTTTGCGCCCTCTGGTGGTAGAACCCGCACTCCGGCAGGTCATAAATGTCATGCTTCTGCGCGTCGACTGCAGGTTAGTAATGTTTTATCTCACTGTAGACCTACTGTACCGATGCATTCATAACTTCTGGCTCATCTGGCTCGTAAAAGGCTTTATCGATGTGAAAACATACGCGCCCATCTATCGGGCGCTCGGCATTCACGGTGCTCAGTCACAGCCAGTCTGACACAAGCGAGTGCAGAAAACCAGAGTAAAACCATGTAAAAACTGCTGTACTGTAAATCGCGACTAGAGTACGCGTTATTGAGCACAGTATGAAACCCATGTTGTGTGTGTGCTGCTGGCTCATATCTGTGGTGATGTCGCTGCGCACATAATTCTGATTGTGTAGACTTAAATCTTTTTTTTTTTAAATGCCAGCGCGCCAGAAAGTCCTAAGGCAATACACACTGCAGCCTCAGACCAGGGTGACGGGGATGTGTCCTCTCACTGCTGAAGCATCAATGGTACGGGTTAAAGTGTGTACAGTAGCGTCAGGTAGACGTGGTGTGTATACAGCGTCTGTTCCTGCTGTATATTCACATCTGTTGTGGCGAGGGATTCAAGGACGCTGCGACGCTACAGTGACACTTGTTAAACGATATCAGGTTGGATCGGTTGTTGCCTCATGTGAACGGTGACCCTCAGGTCTAGAAGCAAAGTGGAACCAGCGCTTGAGTAACACGGGAAACGGGTGGAGACGCGTATGCGGACCTCTTGGTGACAAATGATAGTGTGCTTAAATGGGATATTTTAAAGGACGCGAATAAGAATTTAAAAAATGCTTTTTACAGTGAAAGCACTTTTCCAGAAAGACTTTGCTGAAGGAAAAAGAAGCGGGAGCAGAAGGAGAGAACTTCGTTAATTTGTAAACCTTGGGCACAGTCCTTGGGATCAAAGGGAAATCGCTAACAAGCGAAAAACGCTACACTTCGGGGTATTGTGACCTGCTCCTTCATTTTGCTTTGCCCAGAACCTTGTCCTTGTGTTAGGTGTCAGACTCGGACGGATAGCTGCATCACCTGAGAAATTGCTTTTTGTCTCTCGCAGCACAGCATTATTATTATTGATAATAATTGCTTACACTTATTGAACGCTTTTCTGGACACTCCATTCAAAGCGCTTTACAGGTTATGGGGACTCCCCTCCACCACCACCAATGTTCAGCATCCACCTGACCTCGGTTTTGCATCTCATCCGAAGGACAGCACCTGTTTACAGTAAAGTGTCCCCGTCACTATACTGGGGCATTAGGACCCACATGGACTGCAGGGTGAGCGCCCCCTGCTGGCCCCACTAACACCTCTTCCAGCAGAAACCTTAGTTTTTTCCATCCAGGTACTGACCAGGCTCATACCTACTTACTGTAGCTTCAGTGGGTTGCCATTTGTGAGTTGCAGAGTGATATTACATTGCAGAATCCCTTAATCACTTAAACTAACAGGCCATAGGCCCCCAACAGAATTCAAATACACCACTGAATGCTTTTAAACTTACCATCACTTGTTTTATTGGGGCACTTTATTATTTTTTTTATGAATTTGAAAATCATAAAACTTAATCATAATCATTTTTACTAAGCACTTACTTTGTCCAGCCTATGAGATTCAAGTGTGAGAACATTAACCTTAAGATACCAGCTTTCAATCAGTTCATCAAGTAAATAACTGAGGTAAATTATCTCCTGTAGTGTGGGCTATTTTTGCTACCTTCCAAGCTAATTTCTCTCACAATATGTTCTATATTCAAAATCCAGGCATCACGTAGTGAAAACAATTTTGAGACTAAGTGCTAAGATAAATTGAACAGAACATTATTGTTGGATTCTTCATCAGACAAAAATACTTGAGAATAAAACACTAACATAATGCTTCAAGTCTAGTAAATGTTTTTTTTATTTTAAAAAGGTATATCCATACATTTTATATACAGTATTTAGACTTTCTGTGTGTATGACTTTCTTGAAAAGTTTTAAAATTGTAATATTTTCAAACACTAAACTGCTTTAAATGATTAATAGTTTTGTCTATTGAACATAAAATAAATCCAGTTATCGACAATAGTACTTGACCAGTTCTGGCAGCCCTCTGGCAACCTGTGTTTCTTATTATAGATGCACCATGCAAACTTTAATTTTTGCTCAAATAAATGATACATGACAGTGGCATGTTTCCAGTTTACTGTATATGCAGAACCAGACTAATTTTAAGCCATGCTTGACTAAGTGATATAATTTATTTTGTACTACAGCAGCATTACCTGTAGCATTATTATTAATAAAATAGCATTTCTTCAACAGTTTTGCCACTCACATATAATTTAACTTGATGTATGGTCAGTGAGATCAAGTTAGGAGACAATAGGTTCTACTCAAAAAACTTCCATGTTTTTGAATGGAAGAGAATCATTGTATATCAATCCCGAGGATTCAGATGAAGACTTATAAATAAAACTCAACATCATTAGATTAATAAAACAGTTTATTATTTTTTAAATATAAATGAAAAATGGAGTACATAAATATGTACATAACTCTGGGACACCTCTAGTCCTCCTTTGGGCAAAGTCTGTGTAGTTTATTTACGTTCAGAAGACATCTTCCCAGAAGACCCCAAGAACTTGTCAGGAAGTTGAAAACAGGTTTCCCGTGCAAAGGCAAGCCACAATACAAAGTGAACATAAGATTGACTCCAACACAATAAATTACTGTTTATCCTGTTTTCACACTTTCCTCTGCTGGCCAAATGTCCACTTAGTCCTATTAAAAAAAGAACAAATTGGAGAGTGTGGTAAAGATACAAAGAAAGTTCAGATGCCTGAAAGCAGCTAAATTAATTTTAAACAACAGTCATATTTTTGATTAAAGGATGGATATGATAATAAACTTCATTGTAAATGTGTATTATTTTCCTCACATGTACAGATTCTCAATATGATAATTCACTGCATTACAATTGTATATAAAGGTCTTTAAGCTCAATAATGTTTTTTTCCTGTTCCTGAGCATAGCAGTGAAATCAAATGCATCTCAGAAAAAATGTAAAAAAAAGTAATAGTAAACACCAACCTTTTCAGTGAATAACAAATAAATAATTCACATGTAATAGCTATTGTGACTCGAGGTAGACAGAATGCATTTTATGTCTCATTTCATTTAGGTCATGAGTTACTAATGATTCAATGATAATGACCCCATTATACAACATTATCATTCTTTATTCAGAACCATGGAGATGACCTTTAAAAATAAGATATCCTGTGGCATTAGTAACTTACTACCTTCACAGATAACCTACTATACCTTCAAAGTTGTCTCTTTCTCTTCACATACATCTTTCTCCTGTGGTGGAAAAGCAGATTAATGAGGCAGAAATACCAGAAAATATATACTGTATATATAGTTCCATTTGTAGTCAATATATCTCTTAACAGTATAAAAGTGGAGATCAAACCAGAAGCTTGGATGCTAACCCTCATAGGCTTATACTATGTTTCGTTATACTGAACAAGCAGTTTTCTTTAGTCATTCAATTCATTCTGCTCACTTATTGTTTGCAAAAAACAAGATGTTTATAAGCAATGAAAGAATTGTGCACTATAGTTTGAATAAGAAAAGCAAGATAACATTAAGCTCATGTAGTGTAAGTGGTATAGCATGCACTTAATACAGTGTTTTTGTTCATGGAAGCACCATTCCTGTTGATGGAAGGATTATTGATTATCTTACATAACAGTAGTTTTGTAAAGAATTTAAAGATCTATTTATAGAGTGTAAGAGCTAAGGTCTACACAGCTATTTTTTTGCTTATGCACAAAATGAAAAGAGGTAGGCAGTTTGACTTCCTAGTAAACAGCACCATGAGGATATAAACTGTTAGAAACTGTCACTCTTTAATGGAAAGTAAAATGTCCTTGCTTTGGCATGACCCACATCCTTAACATTTTTACGCTGCTTCTTCAGAATCTTTTTATGTCCCTTACCATGTTGACTTTGGATTTCTCCTCCTCTTTCTCCCTCTTTTTGACCTCGGCCTCCACCACCTCAAAGAACTCCTTCTCGGCACGTGCAATGAGGTCCTCCGCGCTCTCCCCCGTGTCCACCTCCTTGCTCTCCTCCTCCTTGCCCTGCTCGGAGCGGCTGCGCTCCTTCAGTCGCATCTCACGGTGCCGTGCCTCCAGGATCTTTTCACGCTTGGTTTCCCTCTCAAACATCTGGGTGCAGGAAGAGTGGGCAGGGAGGGGAGAAGCACAGCTGATATTGATACTGTCACGGACGTCCAAAGGGACTAACCGCGGGGAGCAGCAGAGCGGAAAAAGACCCATATGCGTAGCGGCGAGACGGGAAAAAGGCCCGGGCTCATAGTGCAAAGAGTTCAGGAGTGCCATACAGAAACCTATGCCCTCAGGGAGCGGACGTGGGGCGCCCTGGTGCTAGGCGGGTCTCAGGACATCCGAACCTCAATGCTGAGCGAGGACAGAGTGCAAGACCCGGAAATATATAGCCCAAGGGAAAGAGAGGGACAGGAAGGACAGCAGACCGGAAACTAGGGACAGGACAGAGAAGGAGCGCCCTTTGGCTGCAGAGGGCGTGACAGATATGTTATTTTCGATGATCTTGGATCAACATTCTACTTTAAAATACTATTGCAGAAGGATATACTTTAAAAAAAACAGAGTCAGCTCAGTTTCAGACACACATGAAGATTATTGGAGCCTTTAAAATTGCTCCTACCGCAGTGGCCAGTGCCTTCTCATTTCTCTGCAGACTACACAGGCCAGAGGAGATCTCCAGCAGTGTGGCTGTTCCCTGCTGGGAGCCACAGGCCAGGAACCTCCCATTGTCCTGCACTTGCAGGCTGTACAGGGCCTCATCACACACCTGCCAACAAAGCACACAGCTCAGGCCTATTGCGAAACAACTGACAGTGATCTATTGAAGGTCTATCTTTAGCACATCCATAATATTGAACCCTCTCACAATCCTTACAGAGAACCACCATCAACGTTTTTATTGCTAGCAGTGTTCAGGGCAGAAGCCATATAGATTATCGGGTCTGGTTTATATTTAGTTCACTATTATGTACTACTTTACTTTAAGACTGAGAGATTTGTTTTTGTCTTCATCAGCCTTTCCTGAACTAATCTTGTCCACATTCAAGATGAAAATAAAAAATAATTAAAACCATTAAAGAAGTAAACATAACTTTGAGAAGAATAAAATGTACTTAAATTTGAAGATATCAAAAATCAACATGATCTCCTTCCATATAAAAGGGTTGAGATTAAGTTGGATAGATGAATTTTCACAGACTTACTTTTATACTGAGTGTGGGGTCATTCTGTTTGAACAGGAAGTCCCACACGTCCAGTGTACCATCCATCTTGATTGTAAAGAACACAGAGGGCCTGACTGGACTCCAGCACCCATCAGTCAGATAAGCCATGTGATACCTAAAGGTAAAGGAATTTGAGTGAACTAGAAGTTAACCAGAGAATACAGGATCAAAAACAGATGACTGCTGGCACCCTGTGGAGAAAAGGAGCAAATGCAGTACTGCTCTGCTGACATACTGTATAAAGCCTGGATTTATATAAATAGGGATTCCAGCTACTTTAACAATAACGTAAATTCTGAAGCAGTTAATTTCAGTACCTCAAAAGTCTTCAAATAGCAAGGGTATTTGAACTATCAAAACATCTAAAACTGTTCTAGGTTTATTAAAGACTTTAAAGCCTTTTATTCAGAACATCTGTATAAAAAATAATGTAAGTCTTAAAAAACAGACAGCAGACAAATTACTTAAAAAAATTAACAGCTTAATCACCAGATGTGAAGTATTTGAATGAAAATTATAGCAAAAATAAAACATGACTTTAACTTTCACACTGCTAAGTTATTGTATAGATATGATTAGTTTTACTTAACATGCAACTTCTCCGTGTAAATATTCTGCAAATGTTCAGTTTGGCTGAAATGAGAGGTCTTTTAAGACCTACAGTATATACAAAACCTGATGTCCAGAGGCTTCTTACTTGGTCCACATGATCGAAGACTCCTTGATATCCTCGGACCAGATACGTGCCGTCCAGTCTGCTACAGTCAGGAAGTTCTTCGGAAAGAAGGGGTTTCTCTGCAGGGAGTAGATTGGCCCATGATGGCCGCTGTAGGTACACACAATCTTCTCTGCTGGAGTCTTGGCTTTCCGATTGCATGACACAACGAGCCCCTGCTCTGTTCCCACCATGAACTTTGTGGGCTGAGTGAACAAATAGAAAAAGAAAGCAATGTACAAATTAAACCATTGAGAACTTCCTTCTATGCTAAATATTCTGTTTATAAACACATATGTTTAATTTTATATGGCTCTTCAGAGTGGTTATTTTTATGTTTTCTCAGTATTGTTCATACAAAGCTAACATGACTATTTTTGTAAAGAAGATGATGTGAAGTGCATTATGAAGAAATACTCTAAATACTGTACAAAACACTTAATGTTGAGAACTTTAAATGGGTGAAGTAAAGCTGAGTGAGTCTCACCATAGTAGTTTCAAACTCTAGAGAGATGGCTCCAAGCGCATTGTCCAGATTGCCCTTTTTAGTAGGGTCAAGTACCAGTCTCTCTGTGGGTTCATTCAGCTTTCGGATGTCCCACCAAAGAACCTGCCAGGAACAAATAACATTACTGGAATAAGGATCAGAAATAATTCTGATGTTTGGCTGATTTTCTGCACCATCTGTAAACCTGATGCATTTTTTTAGCATTTGCTCTTAATGTAAGTCGGAAAAAGTATTATTTCTCAATCTGTGTTAGTAAACATTATCATCACAAATGTTTTAAATCAAAACCATTGCTTACTACAGTTACACACAACATAAATTACAGATAAAGAATATGAGGGCACCTGGCCATCTGTGGAGGCTGAGAAGGCATCTGTTCCTGTCTTTGACTGCAGCCAGATGACTTTATAGACAGGGTCTCTGTGGCTGTGTTCAATGGTGGACATTTCCACTGGATGACTGCCTTTACGTGTGTCCCAGTAAGCTGCTCAGAAACAAGCTGGATATGTGCAACTCAACCTTTACTTTTAAATATTTTTGAAAACATAATGAAACCTTTCAAGCATGGGTAGCATCAATGTATCAATGATGAAACACATGTTAATCCTACAAAACATGATAAATTATTAGATGGATCAGCAATTGTGAATAACATACAGTACTGTTCATATGAAATTCATAACAAAATACATGAAAACCTGCATTATGTTTTTAAACCTTCTGCTGTGAATATTCTGTGCTATTTATAGTAGATTAAAAATGCATGCGCTTTGTAAGCACTGAATACAAAAGAAAGACCTCCATAAAACTATCTCACCTATTTGCCCATTATAACAACCCCCAACCAAAATGTGTGAATCTTTAGGGTTGTACTCCAGACAGACTAGTGGTGACACAGGTTTAAGGACCATCTCTGGTTTGTTGGGATTCTCTGTAAGATAGAAGCAGAGGAAGGTTACATACTAGAAAACACAGCTGTACTTTAGCCATTTTGTTATATTGTGTTATATTGTTGTATTGTGTCCTTGATTAGATTGTCATTTTTTCCTACAACCACCACTTAATAATAATTGATTAGGTAACCTGGTTTTCTCTGAAGATCTCAAATCCCCATATCTTTTCTGCAGTTAATTTGATACACAAAGTCCTCCTCACCAATGTCCCATATATAGGAGTCAAAGCTCATGTCTTTGGTTGCTCGCTGAAACTCCAGAGAGGAGTAGGCAACTGCTAGTTTTCGGCTGCCATCTGGGTGCCAGGAGAGGCCTGTGGCAGTGCGCTTGATCTCATTTGGATCCCTATCAATTGAAAACATAATGAAAGAATGAAAAATCAACTACTACAATACACGAATTTGATACTTGTTCATCAAAATCACTGAAACTCTCTTAGTGTTGTGTGCAGTTTACCTAATAGTACAATACATGTTATTAAAAGATTATACCTCCCATTCTCTACAGCTGTTATTATATCATCAATATAATGAATAATATTATTACCTGAAAACATTGATAGTTTTTGCTGAAGGTTGCTCTTCTGTCTCTTCTAATATCTCCTCCTCTTCATAATACTCCTCGTAGATATCAATGGCATTGTTCTGTTTGATGCAGTGTTCCATTGCCTATTGTAAAGAGATAATAGTAGTTTACTACACCTCATTTTGAATATGTTTGTACAACAATAGACTAATACATACTTAACTCACAATATCAGTACATAGTCTTAGTTGCAGTGATTTACTTTATAACACTTATAAAAAACATTATCTTCTAGTGACAGACAAATGTTCTTTCATCCAACCACACTTGACAATAACAATGCTATTTCATGCATTCTGACCAGCAAGTCTGTGGGGCAAAATTGAAAATCTGTATTATTTTCCCCAAACAGAATTTACCCCGAGCACCAGTACTCACGCTGCCCAGCTGCATGATGGTGTTGACATAATTCTCGTCTTTCTCCACCTTCTTTCTGTACCGGATGGTTTGTTCCATTTCTTGGGGGTTAACATCCTTTGGCCAGCCCCCCTCTACATGGTTTATGCCTCGGGTTTCTGATTCAAACCGCTCTGTATTCACCTAACAAAAGCCAAGCATCACAGTTTTTAAAACAGACTTCATTGTTTGGTCTCTGCTTAGAGGGTGCTAGTGATTTGTATTTTGTGGATTCAAAAATTGTTTTGCAAAGATAAATGACATTAGTCAGTAGGAAAGGAATCTGAAGGCACCATGTAAGAGGGGTGTAATCACTACACCAACCTAAAGGCTGTTAAGTCAGTTTGAATTATATAATGGGACATGCTGAACCATATCGTATTTGCAGCTAAATACATGGTCTCAGCTAAGAGTGTGTAGTAATTTCCTAGTTTTGTCAATATCCTTCCCAGTGTTCCCAGTCTGAACTTGAAAACCTTCCTCTTCTGCTGTTTCTGCATTTTGTCATAATCTTTGCAAGACTGTTTCTTCATTGGCAGCCAAAGCACAATGAGAACACTAAAAGCAAGGCCTCCAAAGATGTGAAACGCACTCATCCTTAACAAAAGCAAAGACAGACCTCGTGTTCGGACATCTCCTGGGTGCATTGTGTGGGGGTGTCGCAGGGGTTTCTCTCGATGAAATTGACCGCCAGGCTGGGATCAGGAAGAATGTCCACATGCAGCTCTGCTGGACGGTCTGAAAAGTTACACTGCCGGCCAAACTCGCTGCGCTTTTTCGTATACACGTATACTATCTCCATGGTGCTTGCTGGACATAAAAACCACAGTAATATTACATTCCTGTTAGCTTAAAACAACTGATTAAGAAATCAGAGAAAGAAAATTGGCAACCAAATGGCCTTCAATTTAATACTGAATCAGTCTCCTTAACATTTTAGAGAAGAGTAATGTACTGTACCTTCATTTTTAAAGGTCATTGGACAATAAATATATTCATGAGGCAAAAAGGGTAGTTTGAAGGTTTATACATCATATAGAATGTTTATTTTTCACTTATGAGCACAGGGAGATATTTCATTGTAGATAAGCAACTAAAATAAATGCTTCGTGATTAATAAAACCACAATAAAAGGGTAATAGCACCTGTAATGACAGCGGGCCATTCTCATTAGAATCATAATCCGTACTCGTATAATCCCGATTGAGAGCGCTGGAACACAAATTTGCACTAGGGAATATTTATTTTAAACAAAAAAAAACTGTACTCCTCGACAAAACAGCTATACAGCTGTTAAAATATAATTAATTTGGCCAACATCATACTAATATATTAACATATTAAGATACAGTTAAAACAAATGTATTCATTCCATGATTCCCTAACGATCAACACCACATAAACATCTATGAAGTACTGTAAATTAACAAATTGTAAAAATGAAAAAAGGGTTTTCAAGACTTTCCAAGTGTAAGGACCATGTCAGAATAACTACTGTATACTCAAAACATTTAACCGTTGAATTATAACTCAGCGTTTCTCGGTTTTAGTTTGTAATATGGATAGCAGCAATAGAGCATTTAGGTGGGGGCCTGGTCCGAGTCAAGTTTAGAGAGCATTTACAACAGTATTTCTCACTCACACTGATCTGCAATCACTCTCATACCTGGTCTGCTGGGTGACTTGTTGTGCTGTAATTTCTTTTTCCAGTATTTCTTTTCGTTTTTAGGTGTTTTCTTCTCAGTATCTCGAGTCCTGGAGTAAACAGCTCTAGCTGCAGTTTACCGTCTCCTAGCAACAGTTCCACCCTGAAGTACACGTTTCTGGTCACGTCGTGCGAGCGTCTCCTCTCTGGCGTTATATATGATTCGGTCTTCTTCACAAGTTTCCTAAATTAATTCAGCAAACGAAGGCGAAATGTTGAATTCATAGAGTGTTTTTAAAATATAATCAAAATACAATTTTTTATTACTTTATTTTTGGTTAATCGATAGACTATCATGACAAATGTGTTGTATAGAGTCTTTACGTCAGGTATCGTTAAACGTGGTCATAGACACGGAATTATGTTTTATAGCTGTGTATTATTTCAATTATTTGCTAAAAGACAACACGTTACGTTTTACTGGCCTTTTCTCAGTGTTAATAATTACTACTTTAAAAAAAAAACGATTTGCTGGTTTATAGGGTCTCCAGACACTGCTTTCAGCAAGTTATTCAGGAATGAAACATCATTCAAATAAAAAGTGATTGCTGCGATAGACTGAGTAAAACTCAGTAAAAATATTATTTTAGGAGAACGGGCAATAGAGGTTCTAGGTCTTGCAAAGGTTTGTAATAGTTGGTCCAAGGTACTAATCAGCGCATGTTTCTTTTCTCTAGGTCAGATTTCTGTTAATTGACTGCCTGTATCGTCCATCCAGCTAATGTATTGTAATTCATGTGGGTAGCTGCGTCAGCATGCATAGGCTACAATACTTACACCCGAAGAAGGCTCCACAGCCGAAACGTTGTTTTTTCTTCCTTCTCTTTTCAGCATGGAATAAACCTATTACTTGTTCTTATGTACTGTAAACCCACTGTCATCAGCCGAACTTGTCAAATTGCTACAGTAAATAACTACAACACCAAGCCTTAAATCCTTAAATGTTTTGAGATAGTCCAGCCTTAATTGCCTCACACATGCACACAGAAAAAAAAAACCCATCGGAGAAACCGTTTTAAAAGTTTTTATTATTATTGCCCCTCCTGTGGGGGCGTAATACATAAAAATAAAGCACCACTCTCAACGACTGCAGACGGTGCAGCGATGGAACAAGTTTACATGCAGCAAAAAAAAAAAAAGAAAAAATACCACGACGGCGCTAAGGATAAAAAACATACCTATATTGAGTCAAACATTATCAGACACGGAAGAGGCAAACAAGATTTGATCGGGGTGAAGGGGCTAGTTCTGCGTTTTCTCCCGTGGAAGACGTACAGTACAGTATTAGCAACATTAGTATCGTTAGTATCCCCGTCACATTGGCCCAATTTGCCGTGCTTTTATCAATGCCTTTAAAGTACTGGCATAACAGTTGTATATGCAAACCACATTGGAAAAGCTAGAAACTGGCACACAAGAGAAAAAGCACTTGAAGCTGCTCAGGCTGAATTGTAACCTTCCCCTTAAGACCCCATTTTGAAAGCACACTGACACAGTGCCATTTGAGTTTGATTGGGATTTCCTGATCTCTTCTCTTCATATATCCAGTTGTACGTTCTCAAGTCCTATTTTATTACAGAACACAGAATCAGTAAATTATTTAATTTTGTTAGAAATCTGTGGTCCTAGAATGAAAGAACTGATGCACTTTGTGAAGGAGAAAACATCAGCCTGCCCCAGAATCAAATGACCAAAAGAGTTCCTGGCAAGCATGTGCCAGCCCTCATTCACTTACAATATACAGCAGATGCCTAACCACTTGTGACACATGAACATACAAAATGCAGTTATTATACATTTTATGTACAGAAACAAAAATCATCATAATGGTCTGGAACAAATTTGAACACTTCAGCATCCAATCAACGTTAGGAAACCCGGCTTTCCCAGACTAACCCACTAAAAGTTAAACCTTCTGCTAGTGTAAGATTCTGAGCCAAGGCTCCAGAATTGAGGCTTGTGGCTTGAGTTTCAGCTCTCGTGTGCTCAGTATTTAATTTGTCAAGGTGATGTATACACGTTTTTTTTTTTAAAAGGAAAACCGTTGTGCAAAGCGAGAGTCTGCGGCCACTTTTGGAAGATGTACAGTACTTCCATTGTAGCTCTACAATAACATGAGGGGAGTGATGTGTGTGAGACTGGGCATGTATTGCAATCACTCTCGGGACAAAATGTGGTAACACATCCCCACAAATTTAGTGACCCCTGGTAAATAATATTATGCATCTCCACAATTTAAATTATTATTTTTTCTACCTGCTTCTTCTAATTCAGAGTCACAGGGGAGCCAGAGCCTATCCCAGCAGGCAATGGGTGTAAGCAGAGTAAACCCCCGACAGGACTTGTAACAAATATTCGTTTTAATCTAAATGTGCTAAACACCTTTGTTTTAGGTCTATTTTCACTCTGGGGTGATTAACTACTGTATATGGGACATCCTGCCTAGAAAGGAAAACAAATCTGTGCAAGTCTGCATGACTACTGCCTTGCATGAACTGAGACTTGAAGGCTCTAGGATACAAAGGATTGCTGGTCCCTGTTCCAGTTACAAGACCTCCATTATGGTCACCAACTGCACTGTGCTTCAATGCGTTCAACAGCTATGCACAGACAGTGGTAGAACACCGGGCAGTAAATTGTGTGGAAAGTGAAAAGTGTGGAAAACCACAGTTCTTTAGGATCTCAAGTCTGTACAGTGTATATACAGGTTAAAGAAATTCAAAATCTCACTATTTGTAGGAAGCCTGTTCACCCTTTCCCTTACCTTGCCTTTACATTTTACAGACTACCATTGTCTGGAATTAGCAGTAAATATACAGTACAGGCTTTGAAAACCTTCATATTGCATTGTTTCTCACTGTGGGGGGATACATTCTGACTGGGCATTCGAAAGGCCTAAAGGAGGAGATGAAAAGAGAAGCAAAGGATTATCCAGAAATGTAACAGTCGTGTAGCTTCTCAGCTGAAGAAGCAGAGGAAGGAAAGTAGAGATGGGAAGAAGATGCTCATTTAAAAGCTGTAATTTCTAATATTCTGCCCCAAATACCTAAAACGCGCCGATTTGCAAGTTTTGATCAGACACAAAAAGACAAAAAATCAATCCATTCCCCCCCCCCCAGTAAAATCAGATGGAAGCACTGACTCTCTCTATACGAAAGACAGAAAATAGGATTCTGCATTGTCTGGTTCACCCTGAATCCATGTTCAAACTGAGGATAGGTGAAGAAAACAACAAAAATATTTCTATAATGGCACAAAACGCCAGTGCTATTGTTAAACAATTACAATATGTCAAGTTCCAGCTTTTTAACAGGCTTTTTATTTTTTACTTCAGGTCACCCAGTTCTTCTCTTTGTACCATTCTTTGGCACAGAATTTGCTGCTTTCAGAAATGTCACGTTGACATTGAATTTCTCAAATATGATGCAGTTAAAAATATAAGACTATATGTGAAAAAAGCAGCTGTGTGTCCAGTCAAAGAATGTCTTAACTTTTGTTGATATATAAATATCATTTGTTGAACATTTAGCTTTGTGGCTTCAGGGGGAGGAAAACAGAAAACCTCTTTTGTGGAGTTATATATTTGATGCTAAGTGTTTGTGTGCCTTCAAGAGGCCAGGAATGGTTTTAGAAGAAATGTACTGCGAGTCCGGCTTCCGAACTGGTACCTAACATTCATCTGTTTTGTTCAAGGCATGTGAGAATGGCATGAGGACTCTCTCCCTTGTGCAGCCATGCTTGTGCATGCTGGAGAGAGAACAGACACTCAGTGCAGATTCCATTTCAACAGTGTTGTTGGCAAAGCAATGCCACACACTGCGACACTGGGTGGATTCCTTAGCCATGGAGGTGTAGGAGGGGAAAATGGGAATCTAAGCCTGAAAATCATTCCCAAAATGCCTTGTCTGGTCATCAGTCATAGACAGGTAGGCAGCCCTCATGCTGGGAGAGTACTGAGGAGGAAGAGAGAGAGAGAAAACGGTTTCATTTATGCATTCATTTGACACCTGATTATTATCTGTGCAGAGCTGTATTATGTCAATGCTTTTGCCACACTGTTATTCCTCCAAATTTTAAATCCTTATTTCCATGTTTTACACCGTAAGGTGGAAGCAGCTGGAGCCTGTATCAAACTCATCTTTGGTATCAATGTATGGCAAATCTCCGCAACAAAATTAAACTGGGAATTTAAGAGATGTGACGTTTAATTTTTTTTAAAGAAAATTAAAAATTGTCTTGTTTTTTTTCTTCATTTTGGTCAGTAAACATGTTGGATAACACTACTTTTGAGACAAAATGAATTGTAAGCCTGTATTTTATTCATTAGTAAAGCCAGAAATTCTAATTCAACAACGTATTAACATGTGACACAGCTACCCTAGATGGTAGCTCTGTTGGGTTTTGCCTTATTTCTGCCCAGTGATTGGTGGAAGGTTTGGAGTTTAATCTCTGGCCAAGAAGAAATAATAACTTAACAACATGGACTGCAAGGAACAAATTCTAATTATTTACTTATACTTTACAACCCAATAAAAGGTATATTTTTATTTTGAAATATTTCAGTAATGATAATTACCATACGAGTCAGAAGGTGATTCCAGTTTTAGAACACCTTTTTATTCCAAAGATGCAATGGAACTTGCATAATGCTTAAAAGCCCTTAGTTTTCAAATGCAAATGAATTACAGAAGTACCTTTCTTTTGCCTGTGAACATCTGCATTAAGTATAGTTTGGTGGGCGTTTTTTAATTGAAACAGATGAAAGAAAATAGATGTGTTAAAGGCACTTGGGGTACCTTTAAAGTCTCGGATGCCATCTTGAAATATTCCACAACACAAAAGAGAGGCCACTTCTGCACCCAGTACAAAGACCTTCACTCTTTTCAACAAGAATTCTTGTCAAAAACATATGCACTATTAACTATATACTGTACTTGCCCTTACAAATAAAAATCTTTAAGATTAAGGTCTGAAGTAGGACTGTGCATTGTTGAATATCAATTCTATAGCAACAGATGACAGAAAAAACAGGAAACTAGTCATGCATAAGCCTGTGACAGTTACTATAGAATTGTTGAAAATGCAGGAGTCATGCAAGTCCTGGACACCGAGTCCTACATCAGAGATCGCTGCTGCTTTCTTAAAAGCTTCACTTCTGTAAAGGTGAAAACTTACCCTCTCAGTCTCCAGATAAAAAAAATAACCCAAATTGTAAACAAAAGGTTTTTTTGAAAAAAACATGCAGAACTATGAGATGGAAACATGACTGCACTGCACGATGAGGTGAAGTCAGAACAATGGATTTAGAAAGAGTGGAAAAATTAGTAACTCAAACGGTGCACTTGGAGTGAGACAAAGAAATCCAGAGAAAACTTACTCTTTTTGTAAAATGGCTGAGAGTTTAGCTCCAAAAAAGTCGAAAAATAAAAACAAAGAAACAAACAAAGAAGCTATTAGCTGAAAATATAAAAAGCTGCTTTGCAGAGGGAGGGAGAAAGACAGAGGCAGGGCATGAACTGGGATGGGGTGGCAGGAAAAAAAGGAAGATATCGGGAGAATCTTTTGGGACGTCAGAGCCAATGTGAGACTGATTCTGGTTTGCATGTGAAATGGCTCATATTCATGGTGTCAAAGAGTGGGCACTGATCTTGGCACTGGCAGGATAAAAGGAGATAAAAGGCTTTTGCTGTCATGTGAACTTTCCTTTAAGAATTGATTACTTTATAATATAGATCATATATTTTCTGTAAGTTTTCTATTCAAACATTTTCAAGTTTAAGAAAATATTCGGTCCGTCTTGTACACATTTCAAATATATGCTCACAATCTCAAACACAAAGGTGTACAGTACATTAAAATATATAATTGTATATAAAATATATACTGTATATATTTAAATATCATTTTCCCTAAATTCTATTGTATCACCTGATGGTGTTACATTGGTTGTAAGTCTATTTCTTAAAAAGGCAGAAGGTCATCTCCCCCAATTCAACTCTAAATTTTTTGTGCTGTATATTATATATATTTGCATGTTGTGTGATATTTTTTGTTATCATATACACATCTTTCAAGTGATTGTTAAGACGCAAAAAAGTGTAGCACCAGGTCACTAAAAAGGACATTTTAAAAATAAATGGAAAAAACAGAAGAGATGTTCTTTTCCTTGACCACTAAAAAGCACCATTGAGAGACAACTACAGCATATAGTATTCTACTCCACAATTTACATGGACATTGCATTTTGTATACTTCGCTATACTGTACATCATTAATTACAGTAGACCGGTGTGTATATATTATATTCACAGACTTTTCCAAATGACTGGAACAAGAAAGATGATTGCCTCTGTATCCTGGTATTATTCATTTTAATTATTTGTCTTAATCTGTCAAAGACAAGCAATTCAGCAATTGTACCTGTACAGATTCAAAAAGGAAAAGTATAATCGCAATCTCTTTTCTTTCTTTTATCATTTAAATCACTTTGGAATGACTGGAAATTGCTACATAAGGGAGAGAAGGCACAAACAGCTGTGCATTGAATTTCTGTACACACTGACTAAACTCAGAGTAGGGGCCTGAGTTCTCTACAGACACAGATAAGATCAAAATAAAGAACGCAACAAGCTTACTGGGCGACTGAAACCCTTATCGAGCTGAAAAACGTCTACACTGAGCTGTAACGAGAAACACTCCAAACTATCCTGCATGAGTGTCGGTGAACGGCAGGAGTGAACCCCAGCCTAGATGTAGGTGATGTGTCTAGCTCTGCGACACTAACACGAAGTGAAGAAATGTTCTGTGCAGCAGACGTGAAACAACACAGAAACAGAACGAAACCCAGTCTTGACAATTGCTCGCGTCTCTCCCATTGAAGATACTGCGGTTTGAAAATACGCGACATTCCCTCATGATCATGACCGCGTGCCTTTTAGGATATACTGTATATGGCTTACATTTTAACAATAAATTAAGCAAAGAAAAAAAACGAGCAGTAGATGAGATGAATATCTGTGAAGGTCTGGAATGTGTCTGAAATGCACTCCTTGTGCCTGGGAGTATAATTGAGTGGCGTTTATTGGAACACAGTGTGGTCACAAGAAGGACTTGGCCTCTGGGGCCCAACGCACCGAAGGGGGTGGCGAACCTCTGCCGATCAGCGGGACGTTTTCATAGCGAGGGTTCCCCCCGAACAGCACCGACTGGTTCCTGCGCAGACCAGGAGAGAGACGAGATTACTACAGCGTCAGAAGCAGCACTGCAATCCCTCAAACCAGAGCCCTAGCTTAACCCAGCATACCCCACCACCAAGCCCTCTTTAGTCCCTCAAACCACTCAAAGACGCCGCGTGCCCGTGTTGCACAGCCCTGCTGTCTGGCTGTGGGCGCTCACATGTACTCGGAGACAGGGGCGTTGGAGACGGCCTGGGCCGGGGGGTGCAGGCTGCTCTGACTCCCCATGCTGCTGCTGTAGCTGCAAAAGCTGTGCATCTGGCCACGCGTGGGATTGTGGGCCGCGATGCGCCGCGCTTGGGGGTTGAACGGGTCTTCCTCGTCGATGTCATCGTACTCCCGATCCCTGAGGGGAGCAGGCACCCCGCGGGGAAAAACAAAGAAGACGCAGATGAACACCTGGACAGCACAAATGTCAGGGAGCCACACAAGGTATGTCACCTGGCTACAGTCCAAAGTGGATTTATGTTTGAGAAGTGTCACGGTATCTGACTCTGGAAATCTTTCATCCCCTCTGCAAACTCGCTCTCAAACAATGTCGAAAAAGTCTCTTATCTGTAGTGTATTCTCTGCTGGCGACGCTGGTCTGTTTTTGTGTGATTGTTGTGTCGGATCCTGCCGTAAAAACTAATTTCCCCCCAGGGGATAAAAAAGCTCAAAGTGGAAAAAAACAAACAAATTGAATTGAGAGCCTCACCTGCTGGCAAAGTGTCTCCAGGCACGAGGGATGGCACACAGCATGGCACAGAAGGCAAGGGCAGCCAGCAGAGAGAAGAGGCTGAGATAGAGAAGGCCTTCCACCCCGTCATAGCACACACCGATCAGTGCATCCAGGTAGTCCTGCCAAGTCCAACACACACACCGCTTAGCACATGGACACTTCAGTCTGGGGTAAACGGGGCTGAAGAGTTGACAGGCAAGCTTTTTAAGATATAATGTGCATGGCACCACACTCCCATTCAGCCTTGTGTTAACCTGGGGTGAACTGAGATGCTGGGATGAAAGAGAAAGAGCAAAGTTGCAGAAAAACGTTATTTTTCCCAATCACTTTCAAATGATCCCAATAAGGAGTTACCAGGAATAAGATTCTCATTCAGTCCTGTATTCTGCTTTATTGGTTAAGATACTGATTTCAGCCTGAACTAAAGAACCAAATACCTCCAACCCTGAAGTAACTTAACTGTGGTTAAATCAGGGCTCGAAATGTGGGATGTTTCTGCTCGCTCATGAGGCGTGAGAGATTCGGCCCACCTTGTGCAGACCGCGGCAGTCCAGCAGGGCAGTGAGCTGGTGAAGGCTGGACTCTGAGGAGTTCAACAGGCGCTGGATCCCAAGCAGGTCCTTCTACAGAACACACACAGGCACGTGGCAATGAGGGAATGGGGAGCAAATGGCAAGATTGATGATGCACGTTTGAACATGCTGAAGTGGGCAACGTGCAAACTGCTCCTGTGCTTACCTCAGCAGTGGGAAATATGGGCACGGAAAACTGGAGCAACCCCTGAATTTGGATCTGCATGGTGGTCAGGGACCTCTGGAAAATAGTCAGGGCCTGCAGAGAAAAACCACACAGGACTGCAATGAGCACTTTCCCCAGCAGGTGGCGCCATCATCCCTCTTAACCACTCTGAACTCTGAGCAACTCCAGTCTGAAATTCCTGGACAACGAACCCCTGCCCATATTCAATTGTACAGTTGTAAGCAGAATGCAGAAAACGAGTATGCTGTGACATAATTATTATGAAACTGGAAATGAAGGTGAGACACCGGGACAAGGTCCCTCTGCACTTTTGCGATGTACAGTCCTGACAAGAGCGATTTTCTAAAAATAGCAATGTTTATTGACCTTGTTGATGTGCTTAAGACTTTAGAATCTAGTGTGTGTGCACTGAATACTCCTGAAACGATCAAGGGTTTAAACATTAAGGGACTTCATTACATGGCATTAAGACAAATTAGCAAAAAAAAAAGAATAAAAGAGGTAAATTAGTGTTTCTTTCAGATTTCCAGACTGAAAAACAATTAAACATCTCTAGGAAAAACTGACTCACAAAAGCTTGTATTATAAATTTCATAATAATGACATTTAGATGTACAAATGTAGGTCAGCTGAATAAATCCAAATACAGGACAGTAGGTTAATGGCAATTGCAGCTTGCTGCTTTGGGACCCTTCCAAACAGGGAAAATCTGTAGGTGTGGGCAATGAATTATGGAGGGGCATCCAGTTATCAGGATCACAGACATGTCACTGCACAGTGGAAAGTGTGTTACAGATCCCATGGGGCCTACACATGCAGCATAATAATATCTGAACACTGTACCTGCTGGAACGGATTGGGCATGCTCTGACTGCAGTATAAGTAGTAGTGCACAATATCTGCAAGACAGGGAAGAGATGCGTTACAATGCTTGTTTGACTCCATGCCACAGTGCAGATCCTCTATAACCAGAGCTGGTGTTGAATTGCATGTGCAGGCGTTGGGTCACAAAACTGAATGGAGTGTTCAAAAACCCCTCAGAGGTTTTGATAAAGTCATGCTCAAGGGTTGCTTCGAGTTGAGCAAGCAAGCATGGACTTCTGGGTCATCAAGTTACGATTATGAAGAGATTGCATTTACAGCTCAAAATAAGAGGTATGGCTTTCTTGAAAGAGTATGTGGGTGCCTGGGACTAAATGCAGGCTTAAACTGCCTCTCTAGGACACTTTATATATGTACTGTAAGATGAGAGCAATTTTGGGATTGATTCAGTTCTCTGAACCAAATAACCTCCTCTTGTTTCCAGCTTTTCCTATCCTATGGTCTTGAAGGGAAGATGCAGCTGGATCATCGTCCAGACAAAAATAAGAAATAAACAATTTTATTTGATGTGCCTGAATAACACCCTTTCTTCCTCAATGCATTGGAGCAAGAAAGGCATGAAAAGGGCAGGACAGAGGATTGCACAGAAGTGGCGTACCAGTGCTGATTTCATTGTGGGTCATGTTCATGATGAACTTGTCAGGAGCCACACAGAAGTCACTGGTACCCTGGGGACAGACGGGGATAACATTAGACTGAGAGGACAGAGACCATTTTAATAACATTTGAATAATCGAAGATTTCCACAAGGTCCCGAAGACCTGTAATGCAAATAAAATACAGGTAACAGTACCTTACCCTTCACCTTGCTATACACATTTTTACTAATCTGTAGAAAAAAAGTACCCCTCAAAGCAAACTTTTTCAGAAATTACATATAATGCAGTATCCCCCCTTGGTTTCACTCTACAAATCACCTATAGCAGTGGGGAATTTTAATATAGACTTTATTCATGCTGAAGGGGCATGGAGATCACAGCTACTGTTGAAGAGAGACATGATCACCCGGTATCGGACATTACATTAGATAGTGAAGCAAACCAGACTCAGGGCTAAGACAGAATTGATTTCTTCCTTCTGGAGAAAGCCCTTAATACAATTTAGCAACCGGAGCGCCGAGCCAAGTGATGTAGTCACTTTGTCTTTATTATCTCAAGCCTGAAGCCGTGAAGAGTGAAAGATCTCTTATCCTTTTGCTATGCAGTTTAAATTCTGGCTGGGATATGGAATGCTCAGAATTATCACAATTTATGGGAGGAATCAGGGGGCACATAAACATTTTATTTTAAATCACAGCTGGCATATTGTGAATATGAACTGATTTAACTAAGGCAGGATTATAGACATTTACAAAGAGCTGAGAGTCTGCTTGATATCTCACAGCAGTAGTGTATCTGTTTACATAAATAAATAACCAATACCTACCAAACACTATGTATGTACAGCATATACTGTATGGTGCATACCTTACATCTTTTAATCTTACAATTTGATAATTAGAGCCCAGGATGTTTTTTTCTTTTAGCTAAAGGGTGGTGTTTAAGTGGTATTTCAGTGCATTTTAAGGATATATTAAATCCCACTGGTTTAGATCTCTTTCCTGACGAGATTTTAATGTGTAATTTCTTTGTGATAGTATAGGACAAGGCCACAAAGTGTTTGTTTATTCATTACAAGTGCTTTATGATTCCTCAGTGGGCAGTCTGAAATAGGATTAGTGCAAAAACCAACTGTTTGTTTACTGCTGGGAATATGTAAGTCCCACATATACTTTGCGCTGTTCCAAGTCAATGGAAGTCAGACTTGAAGCTGGATGGGGTCTGGAAAATGGGACTTAAGTGCTTGTGAATTCCCTGAATCCACATTGGCAGACACTCATTCTTTCATGACAGAGCGCAGGATTCAGATTAAAAGGATACAATGGATTAACAGACATATTTTTTAATATTTTTAAAAATACACTTACAAAATATAAAGATAAATGCCCAACCCCAGTCTGTGTACTAGGGGATGAAGGTTACCTCAGTGAGGGGGTCAGACACAAGTGTCCATGCTGGACAGGATGAACTGGTTGGCATGTTGGGCAACACAAAATTGCTACCTTCACCTTATTGGTACAAGGTTGTAACCAAGTGAGCTAAGTGGTCACTCCAAACAACTACATAACATTTTAATTCCTGAGCTCCCGACCTACTGATCAAGGTCGAAACATGCAAGGTGAGGTGAGTCCTGGAGTTTGCCTGAACCAATAGAATTGGCTTTCTTCTTTTAGAACTTCATGACAGACATCATGATCTGCTACAGGCAAAAGCGTGCCACAAATTGTCTTCCATTCACTATAACTCCAGAGGAATACTTTATTCAAAGTAGATGGATCATATTTAAATGCCTCTTAAAGTTGTCTGTCAACAGTATGTACCGTATAACAATTACAGCTGGTGATTAAAATGGAAACCTACTCCTACACTCTCTTTTTCCCTGGTTGATCAATATTTATGACCAGGCAGGCCCCATTTCAATCTGCAGCTCAAAGGTTTTTGAATCTATGGTAACCACACAAGCAGTGGAGCCCCATTTGCTATCTCTCATCAGTCTCAAGGCTCATAATCAGCTTTGCCAAGTGCTACAAACTGCACAAACTGTTCACAGAATGTAATTGGTTTGTGGACAGCTGTTTATGTGCATGCATAAGCAATTATATAGCCAGTAACAGCTAAGAGTGTTTATTTTCTGGCACAAACGTCAAGTAGATGTTTTTAACACAACACTGCCGCCCAAGCTGGTGTTATGGGGATTTATTCTCATAAAAGGTTTTTTGCTACAAAATGCCATTAAGGAGGGGAAAAGCTCTTCTGCAGCCTAGCAAAGCAAAACACAAGTTAATGTGGTTATGCTCAGACCACCTTAAGAACTGAATGAATTGAATGAAGGCCTCAAACGAGGACAAAATAACATACAAATCAGGGTTCACATCCAGCAGTACAGGCTGCATGCAAACCTCAGCTTGGTTGCAACATAATCATCACAATCTCACCACAAACTGCAAACATGGTAAAAGCAGCTCGGTATTATGTTTTGACAAGTCTGGTCTATTATTCTGATCAGACTTTTACTGAAATGAGGTGCCGCACAATCTTAAAAATGATTCCTATCGGCACCAAAATTGCTACGCATAGCGGAGTGATGTCTCCTATGTGAACTCCTGAAGGTTACGGTGATAAATTGCATCAATAAATAACTATTATAGCCCATTCACTGAAAGCTGTAATTCGTAGGAAAAAAATCTGTAATTCACTGCATATTCATTGCTTTGGGTAACAAAATTCATCAGCATTAATATGAATAAAACCTTTTTATTCGGACTTCACTGTTGATTTTAAAAGGATTATTATATTTTTTTATCAATTGTTTACAAAGCTTCTGTAAATGTTAATGTTATAAAAGTAAATGTTGTCATTATTTGTTCCTGCTGGAGCTTTGATAAATCTATAACTCCTGTAGGACCCAGCTGTAAGTACAGTGATAATCCACTTACTGAAAGCATTCACCCCCTAACCTCTCCTGGGTTACATTCATCCCCTGACCTCACTCTGACCTTTGACCCCAGGGAAAACTGGATTGGGGGTAAAGGATTGTGGGCCAGACTATTCATGCCCATCCATCATCCCATTTATCAAAATGTTGTCTGGATCACTGCCAGATTAAATGGTTTAACTTAATTTCTTGTTTGATTTCTCAGAGGGATAGACTGAATAATAATAAAAATATTAATAATTTTGTCACAATCATCGAATTCACATCTTTTTCTAGAGCATTTGCAAAAGCATAAAATACAGTTGATAGGTTGATTCACACATGAGTTGTTCTATTAGCTCAGGAGACTGTATTCAGGGCAGCTAATAGATGAAGGAAGGACAAACAGCACAGGCACAGCAATTTCACACAATTTCTGCTCAGGCTAAAATAAGCCTCATTGTTCTATAAAACCCAGAGTGACTTTCATCTATAGCTTGTTTCATATACACTGTATATACAAGAGTTCTACTGAAGCAATTCTATGAAGCAAGAGGCATGTGAATCAGTTGTATTGTGGACTAAAGTTGGCTATTTGTTCACCATGACCTTCTACAGAACAAGACCAATAACATTATTGCCGATTGCATGGATAATAATATTCTGACATGACCTGCCTGACATGAGTTAAAGACCTTTATTACAACGATATACAGCTATCCCTCTTGAGATAACATAATGATCTGAAACAAGTAATACTCTGTGATTGCAGGTTACCACATTTGGCCTTTACAAAGAAGCAAGCAAACACAAGCCATTTGACACTGACATTTTCAAGATATTTCCCAAGCCTGTAATTCCAAGCTCCTTGGAGCTGGTGGCTCTCTCCCTCCCACTTTGCACCTGACATGCGTCACTGGCACAGCTGTCCAGCGGCAAAATCCTGCCAGTTAATCCTCTTGCAAGCATGCGAGATCAGTGTCAGAGACTCAGCCCTTTTCTGTACTATCTGCAGAAGACCCACACTAGTAATACTACAATGCAGTGGGGACGGAATACTTGCCCAATAAGGACTGAGACTCAACCTTCTACCACTTTTCCAGTTGTACCCTCAGAAGACAGCTCCTGGCAAGATTCTTAACACATTTGCATAAACAACCGCTGACACGCCAGGTTTGGACTTTCAGTAGACATCCCACCTCCCCGTACTGTTTCTGTAGCAATGCAAAACGTTAAAAAAACACTTACCACAGCTGTGGCTGTATCTGCCCCCAGTGATGCCCAGCTTAGGATCAGTGTCAGCACCCCGAACACCATCATCCTGGAGACCAACAGATCATAGAGTGAGGACAACAATGGGGGTGCATAAGTGGGTACCACACTGGGCTGCTGTCCAATTACATTTTGGTGACTACATATGGGGAGAGATAGTGGGGATAACTGAACAGAGGTTCATTCACCAGTCCATAATGCATCCGATGTGGAGACAATGACTACTGCACAAGGTACTGTATCATACAGGTAAGGTGCATGAGAGCACTCCAGCGGTGTTGAGGTTATCTCCCATCTGTAAAGTAATTATAGCCAATCACAGGCATCACACAATGCAGTACTGTACTTAAATAGCTAATATTCTTATTACAGGGTGCTCACATCAACATACTGTAGTGGTTCTTGGTAATGCATTTAGAAATGCTCTCATACCACATCTTTCTTTTCTCTTGACAAGAACAGAATCATACACCTGCACTACCTGTCCGAGTGTGTCCTGCCTTCTTCAGGGTTCAGGCAAGACAACCATCCTCAATTACAAGAAGAAGGGAATGAATGACTGAGAGGAGAGAAAACTAAAGTGTTGTTTCTTGAAAATATCATTGCCCAGCTGTCTCACATCAATAGCTAAAGGGAGCAGATAATCGATAGGTGCCTCCAGATACCATCATCTATCTAAGAGCTGTGTGGACTGTTTGCTTCGCTCTGTGGTCCGTGAAAAAGTCTATATAGAGCGCAATATATACAGTATTACTGTATTAATCTTCATGTTGTAGAAGGATGCACTAAAGCACCCGCAATTTAAGCACTTCAAGTGAAACTAATACTCCATTTACAGGAAGACATTCTGAAGCCTCAACCAGCTGCACACTATGAGGCTACAATATCCATCTTTGACTATACATAACTACCTAAGAAGTAAAAAGAATATTTCCCAGATGGAAACTAAAAGGCTGCCAAGTTCTCTCACAAGCGGCTCTGCTCATGCCTAAAAGCATCAAGAAATTGGATTGGAAGTACTTAATAATTAGTCAAAGTGTACGCATCCTGGCAAGAAATCAATAGCCATCACACAACATGATCTGAGCTAACTGCAGCCACAACAAGAGAAGATAGCCGTACTGTTCCCTTGCCTGTAGCAAGCAGCAAATTCCATTTTGGCACAAAGCTCAGGTCAATGTACTGTGGATGGGACACCAGATCTTATTCATGAAGTCACTGCCAATTGCAGATCTGCAGACCTGGTTTCCCATAGGCACCAAAACATCTAGTGGTACATAATCCTTCTGTTTAGGCTTAAACTTACCTCTATAGAACTAACTAATACGCCACAATGTTCCCAGATTTATTTTTCTAAAAAAGAGTGGTAGTGGATAAATCATCAGTATTTATTAGTACTGTTTTGAATCAGTTGTGGAGGAAAATAATATGTAAATGTGCATTGACCTAATCTTAAATAAAGTCTGATAAAGTCTGTGATTCCAGGGGAAACAAGGATTGCCCACGGCACAATAAGGAACATCAACGTGTCCGTGTCCACTGCAGGATGGGCTCAGCTGACTGCAGGCCCTGTCTTGAAGAGCGGCATGTTTTTGAACAATTTTCAAGAGCATGCAAGAAAAGCTGTTGCGCTGCTACCAACACGTAGCAGAGTTGTGGGGGGGGATCATTGAGACTGGTCACCAATGAATGTGTGGCATATTGTTATAAGTGCAAAATGCAATCATCAATACATTGCACAATGCTGATCAGGATTATAGTAATAGACTCAGAAGACATCCAGAATAACAACAATCAAAAGAGTGCAAGAGGTAAGGACTTGTGACTCACTGGTTTGTGTTTAGAATTAACTTTGTGATTCTAAATACATGGCACCTTAGCATTTACAATTCTATAAAATTCATATTATCTAAATGAAGTTACAGAAGCTACAGTATACTGTATGTAAAACTGGTGCAATGCTGTGGCGTCTTCATATAAATACATTTCTCCTTTAGTAATACCATTGCAAATCCTATGAGTGTCTAAATGCATTGGTCTATAACACTGATGTAGGGGGATGGGAGTTTTTCTCTTGGCTAACCACTGCTTCCCAGACTGAGTACATACTGTAAGACACTCATTTCACTGGCGACCGTAGCACAATATTCAGCAGTTGACTGAAAGCAGCTAAACTTAGATAAGTTGAAAGAAAGATTACATAAAAATCTAAATATATTCTAGGAACAAGTAATAGGTTTATTCCATGCTGAAAAAAAGAGGAAAGGAAACACAACGTTTCGGCTGTGGGCCTCCATGGCTCTCTTTTTCAGCATGGAATAAACCTATTACTTGTTCCTTTGCAGCCTACACATGCTGACACAGCTACCCACCTGAATTTATTCTATATTCCTGATAATGCACATCTTCTCAATCATAAAGCCTTTAAAATGCATTCTAAAATAACTAGTTTTGAGCTTTTGGGACCATTAGACTAATTTGAACTAAGGGATGCTGGCACTACAATTCAAAAGAATTTCTTCTTCATGAGGACTTGTTTTTCAATTCAAGTTCTGTCCAGGTACTGTTGCAGTTAAGCTGCAGGACTACAGACATCGTCGTCTATCAGTATTCCACACCGGCTGATCTCAATGAGCATTAAAGACAGTCCTGGCAAAAACCAAGAGGTACTCACGTAGTGAGAAGCCACCGAGATTGCTTGGCCAGCCCTAGACAGGCCACCAGGCAAATGACCAGGTCCAGAATCAGTAGAAGCAAATAAGACAGCCACCTAGAGGTAGGAGATAGAAATACAATCAACTATTTTCTCCTTCAAAATATTGGCAGAAATACAAATGATTTTTTTCTCCTCTAAAGCATTAAAGTGACATGACAAATTACAGTTTAATGTATAGAAAGAAGAAAAGCAGTAAAATGAAAGGAAGACAGATGAACAATATAGTAAGGGATCCATTTTCTGCAAGGCACTACTTTAAAAATGTAATGGTTTTAGAAATTCTCCACCAGTAGACATGACACTGGGCTGTTAATGACATCCAGCTCTGAAGACAGCAAACAATCTGGGGAAAAAACGTGTCGCTACAATTTTTAAAATTTACATAGCAAGCATTTGTAAGTATTTCCAGTTACAAACCCTTTGTCAGCAACTTAAAATCCAACCGCAGACACAGCCTGCTCCTACAATTCTGCCCTTTCGGAAGCATGTTTTATCACAACATTCCTGATGAGGATGAGGCAAAGCAACTCGACACATTGAAAAGAACTGCGGCAATGTTTTACAAACATATAAATCTTCCACCCACAAAAAGGATGATGTCCTGTCATTGTTCTGTTCCACTAGAGTGGCTCTTGAAGCCTTCAGGCGACCTGATACACCACATTAATTTGCTCAAGATTAAATAAATGACATGGGTTATTGATAGCCCTATTATGTATTTTGCAGAAAAAAATATCTGCTGATATCGGTTACCCACATTGGAAACCCTTTCCACAGAATTACAGATTGATGGAACTTACTGCTGATCATTTTAATCCTTTCTGAGTTCCTTAAATTCCTGTGCCTCCAGAACACAGAAAAAGAATGCCAGATCAGACACACTATCATTAGTGGCTAGCATGAATCCTGCATTGCATGGATAAGATCAATAGTCTGGTACCTATGGGACTGTTGTATTGACCTGTAACTTCCTCTGAAACCGATTAAGAAAAAATGGATGCTAAAAAGTACCCAGCTCACCATATACTTGTATAACTAAGCGTACTGTAGATACCGTATCACAAACTCAGCTTGGGTTCGGTAATTGAGTTAGAGAGGTACGTTCTGTGGACTTCTTTTCATTGCATCATATGTCATTTGCAATAAGAGGAAAAATTAATTCAGCTTTATGAATTGGGAAGAAAGCAGTAGAATAACATTCTGGGCTTTGAATAGAGGTTTAATTCTATTGCAATCAGTCTGCTGGGATTTTCCAGGATTTAAAAAAGCTATACAAGACATTTTGGAGGCTTACTGGTTTAAGCATTGTGGACCAGTTCCAAAAGTTAATAATTAATGAGACCAATCCATTTAAGTGAATATTTAATGTGGTCAAAGCTGCACAGAGGTCACTGGCCTTGTTTTTCTCTTCCCAACTTGCGTTTCTTGAATCAGTTCTCATTAAGTTTGGGTAAATAAAGCAACGTAATGACAGCATACAGTACATGTAAGCTGGCCATCACAACACATACAACTGATCTGAATTTGTGGAAATCAACTGCGTTTATGAACCCTAATCACAGATTTGCACTGGTTGATGGTGAGCCTGTACGTTTGTAGTTGGGAGGTTTGAATCATATATACTGTTTATACACTCATGGTTACTGAATTATTTTCCTACAATCCCCCCCCAAAAAAACAGATACTGGAAATAGTAACAGAGGCAGAAATTGAGTCCATCCCCTCTTGATTTTCTGTGCAGGATAATGACACCAAATTTACTCTGTTATAAGAATCTTGAGCTGATGATGAAGACAGCAGCTGTTGTGTTAAGAGGTCTCTCAGATCTTCAAATCGCTTTTAAAGCCGCGGAGAATACCGAGTCAAATACAGGAGTTTATATTTCCACTCAATGATGAATTCTCCTGCTATTTGAAATAAAACACCTTTATCAATACTAGCTCTCTAGTGTGGAAAAACAAATCTAGCTGTAATAGCCTTCCTCTCTCGAAGGAAAGGGCATTTACAGAACAGTGGGGTTGGTGTGTTACGTACACCAGGGCCACCTGCAGCACAATAGTGAATAACAGCTCTGTAGTTTGAATTTTTCCACGATTGTTTTGATGAAAAGAGGTTTTCGAATCTCATGACATGAAAAATCAAGGTAAAACCCGCAAAATTCCCCATTCTTGCTTTGCACTTGAGATTTTACAGAATAAAAGTGGCCTATAGCAACTACCCACTTCATTGACGATTCTCTTTACTTTTGTGCAAGTATACACACAGATACAAACATCCATGGAATACAACACCAAATAGTAAGACATAAACGAAATTAAAGATCAAACTTATTCATAAAAGTAGATGTGTCAACCCCCGTGTCCTGGCTAAATTCCACTCTGGGCTTGCACAGTCTTGTCTCCCTGCATTTTGCACCAAATAATTTTCGGGGCAGCAGGGGGTGGGTGGCGGGTGATTTTTCACCCCGCCGCTTGCTGTGCTGCGCAGTGAAGCTGCAGGGGTGTAAAATGGCTGCTGTGCATCACCCAGCCGGTGGGCACTGCATTTCAGTGGCGGGAGAAGCGGGTACCATTCTGTGATTCTTTGTAGAAATGAGAAGCGCAAATATTACTAACAAGTACGGCGGAACCGGCAAAGGTTAACGCCACGCTGGAAAGGGTGATGGCTGAAGAAGGCTGGACAGCCAAAATGTTGCTTTGTCTTTCTCCACTTCTCCACTACAGGATGGAACAGGATGCCTTTGTAGGGCAGCGCACGCTGACTCAGATCCCCACCCGAGCGTCTCGCAGTTCTGATTATTGTTCACGAACGGCTTCGTCACCTGTAGTACTCCACATAGCTGATCTGGACAGCGGTGGCCGCCAGGTCCACTCTGGTCTGGCCCCACTCTGGCAGGCCCGTCAGCTGCACGATGACGTTGTCAGCCATCTGCTGCATGAAGCGCAGGGTCTGGATGTAGTCCCCACGTGTGGCAAAAATCTCATCCAGTCGCTCCAGGTGCTGCTTCAGGCCCCTCTGCATGCTGTCCATGGTACCAGAAACCTGGGGGGAGACCAGAAGTGTGGCATGAGCACAGCTCGGGCTGGACAGCTGTTACTGTTATAAGAAAAAAGCAGAGGGTGGGTTGGACTTCATCATTTACTTTCTACATGCCTGTATCCATACTGTTGCAAAACAGAGGCAAATAATACAATGGTTGTTAATTAGTGGATTTTCCAGTAAGCTCCATGACTGAATCTCAGTTCTCATCACATCATCAAAACCTGTGTGTTCCAGAGGACCAGGGGCCTCGAGGTGGGCTTGTTAAGCAGACAGCATGGTGCCAGCCAGGTCTCAAAAAGCACCTACGCGCCACAGTTACAGATCTTTGTTTGGGATGCGGAACTCTTTTTAAATGACATTGCAAGAGGGAAGGTGTGGTACAGTCATTACTGCTCCCAGTTGCCTGTCTTGCTTCTTTGCATGTTACTTGTAAGGTTTTGCTTCTACTGCTGTTTCAAGTACCAAAAAATATTTCCAGTTTTTGGGTCGGAAACGTCCTTAAGTCTGCAAAAACAATGAATAGACATCTGTCTTATTCAGCATTGCTAAGAACAGAAGGCAATGGAAAAATGGTCTCTGATGTTTAACTAAAAACTGGTAGGCACTTGTTAGTGGTGCAGAAGACATTCAGGAACAAAATACTTTGTGAATCCCCATCCTCATTTATTCTTTTTTTTCTATTACATGTAAAATCCTTCAAAAATGAACTTACAAGCATATTCCTAGGAGTTTCCACAATATTCAGCATTTCTAAATTCCCCAAAAGACCACAAATTATCAGACAGAGGAACATACTGTACCATCTTTGCACTGTTATTGGAAACTGTTATAGGCTTTGCTCTGTTATTCTAAAATGTTCCTTTTAAGAACAAAAATGGCATTTTCAGCACCAAAGAGAAGTGATTATACAGTTTTGCACTAATAGAGCACAAAGCGGTATTAATATGGTGTAATAATACAGTACCTTATAAGTAAAGTGTTGCAAAAAAGCAAGACAGGCAAATGAGGGCAGAGAACACCTTGCCTTTTAAAAAGAGTTACAGAAAACTAAAGAAAAAGATCTGTAAAATTGGAGCAGGAGGTCACTTTTTAAGGCTCAGTGTTTGAAAGTATGTGGCACAAAGTTGGCTGGGAATGAAAGTCGATAGTTTCGACTGTCGAGCCACGGGCATAGAAGGAAAACAGATTTGCAACATCTTTATCAGTCTCCCGGGGAACTGGACAAGCTGCATGAGTAATGTGGTGTCAGAACGAAAGCACAGAGGACACCCTGGAAACGCACAAAAAGATCCAATTCTACCATGAAGTTTTAAAGGCAAAAAGTTAAGATCTTTTTCGACAAGGATATTCAGAATTCTAAAACTCACAAAAAAGAGTCAAGAGGACAAAGTCTTTTAAATTTCAATGACAACAATCTGAGAGAATATCTCAGCTTGCCTGGGCCAGTTTCCCTTACGGCAGCTCCAGAGCACTGATTAGCGAAAGAGCATGTGATACTCATCCCCTGATGTCAGGGTTTGTGGCTCTCATGGGGTCACTTGTTCATTGTCTGAGTGTGTCCCTACATGAAAGAGGAGGTGCATGTGCTGGAGGAGGAGACTCGGAGAGGAACTGGATAAAATCTAGAGAAAAGACTTTATTATTGTCTTGGCCTCTGCTTCTGAATATCTAGGTAGCTCCTTAATTTGTCCTAGCTTTGAAAGGGTAGCAAGGGCAGGCAGGGGGCATGGGGGAGTATGGGGAATAATCACCACCCCTTGCCAAATGCCAATAGCATACCTTTAAAGATTCTGCACCACTTTAGCACAAAGACCCCAAACATTATGGGCACACTGAGCACAGATATGCTGTGAAAGACTTGCAGTAAACAGGCATCAGTGTGGGCCCAATGTTAAAATAAAAACAGGAATCTTGTGGTCTTCTTCATTTATCTGTTGCTTTAATAAAACAGTTGCTTGTAACGTAAAATGCTAATAGCAAATGTCAGCCAATTTACTTTTTTTTCTACAAAGTAGTGCAACATTTCCCAGTAAGAAAATGGGGTATTAATATTGAGAGCATCCCTGGTTTAGCAAGTACATCATTTTTTAATCTCCCTCAAGGTCTCTGGGATTTGTCAATAACAATTTTCATACATGCATCAGAAACCGATTCATTGCCTACAATGGCCTATGCAAGTTTACTCCTGGGGATCTTATCTCGCAAGTAAAGAGATTTCTCCTTCAAGAACTGGAAACCATTTATTCAGTCGATCATTTCTCATAAGTGCATCATTTCTTTTATCTGATTACACAGCACTAAGGCAGTTTTAGTAGGCTGTCATCAGCAGAGACAATATTTTTATACTTAATTTTACTTTCACAAGTGTATGATCATGATCCTAGAAGATAAAGCCTCCAGCAAATTCATACATACATTGGAGTTTTGCCTGATATTTAGTTTTTTTAAATCACTTTCAATTGAAGTTGCTTCAGTGTGGCTTAAAGCAGGCTTAACCATTATCAATTTAAGATGTTTTCAGTAGGCTTATTACGTGTTAATTCCTGGTTAAAAAGTGGCATTTCCATCAGAATTTCTTTTCTATTTATTTTACATTTAAAATTCATTGCACACCAAATTGCCAGCTAAACTTTAATGACATGCTGAAGGGCAATTCCAAATGCAACTCTCTAGGGCTAGAAAAATATGATGCATCTTTGATAATAAAACATGATAAGACACTGGTGTTGAGATAGTCCAGTGTCATTTAGTAAGGCATCTTTTAGTAACAAGAGCATTATGTAATAAATGTTACAGCTAATTCACGAAACAAGAGCTTTAAAAACCTCTGCCCGGCGTTGTACCCTAGATCTGAAATCCTTTTTACAGTATTTTAGTGATGTACCTTAAAATATTTCTGTTTCTTTTCAAATGAATAAATACTGCATGATGTTTATTGTGTATGCTTACTGTAATTCTATTACCAAAGCCTTTAAGGAGTACTTGAAATCATGACTAAACACAGGGATACACACAATAAACCCATCAATCATCCTGCTCTCCAATTCAGTCGTCTATAGTTATGGGAAACTCGCCCCCTCTTCAGCTAAAAAATATGTTTAGAATTATGTCACTGGCAGACACCCAACAAACCTCAGCTCCCTCATCCAACTGACCTGTTTTGGCAACCTCAGTAACAGGCAGCCATGATATTCTAATAGTAAAAATCAAGTCTGGAAGAATGAGAAGAGTGTTTAGCCTGGCACTTCAAATACATTGATAAAAATCCCATTTTCTGTAGCATTCTAAAACTCCATTACAATATGAACATCTTAGGAAGCTGCAGTCTGAATATCGAGTTACAATTTTTAATTATACTGCAGCTGTAGGGACAGAAGATCACTGTGTTTGGATCACAGGCCCCTCTTTAAAAACAGATTCCAAAAACCAGTTTTCTTGAAGATCATGTCTCCATTCCGCATGAACGTATGGATGTTTTCTTTTTCCCTGCAATGAATTTTCCTTATTTTGGGTTTTGTTTTGCACAAGCACACTAGGAAACAGCATCCCTATTTAAAACCATTGATTCTACCATAGTGGTTAACAACAAAACTGACCGCATGAGGCAGCTGAGACAGTCCTGTGCTTGTTCCAGACCAACTTCAAAGGGCCTTTGTGACTCGTTAATGGCTAATTTCATTACTGGCTGTGCTCTGCATTAAACACTGTGGGCTTTGTGCACAACAGCAGACATTTTCTTTGTGGCTCTCCTTGCAAACACTCTAGAGAATTCCGATGACACAAAACGACACACATGGAACGATGAATGTCTCCTTGGTTCCCGTTTCTTATTTTTGGTTCCTTTTTGAACTGAGTATCTTCTCTATTTCATTATTTTCCAGGGGGTGGACCAAGCAGAAGAAAGGTAAGGTCACTGACGCAGGGGTTTTGGCACAAGAATGACTTCCCATTTAAGAGATTCAAGCTTCGGCGTTTAACAGATTCACAGAGTTTTTAATCCCTGTTGATGTAGATGTGGGAGAGTTAATCCCAGTGCTTTGATTGTGGCTATTGTATTCCAAATCAAAAGGCCATTCCAATTTTTGCAGAGCAGACATCTGTCACAATTGTCCCCTGGAGGAACTGTTGAATTCTAGTAGGAGATGTACAGTGCTGAGAAATAGTTTGGGAACCATTAATATAATTACGGAAATGACAAATTCTTATCATTATATTATATTCATCAAACCCTTTTCTTAAATAACCAAAAGGGTGTCTATTTAGCAACACAATGTTTTTTTTTTTGAGACATGGTGGTATATGAAATTGGAAAAAAAAATGAGTGAGGTATTAAGATGCAGCAAATGTTGAATAAAAAGACGGCAATTAGAATCAAGGGATTAAATCATTGAGTAACGAGTAAACATGAAGTGCGTTTGGGCAGCCCTGTCCTATATAATGGTCAGAATCTTCAGGAGATTAGTCCCATCACAGAGGTTAGTGGAAATATGTCACGCCACGATCAAAGGAGAGCTTCAGAGGAAGAGGATTACTAAAAGCTCAGAAGAAAATAGGTGATTAGGATCACACAAGAGAGGGTTGCAAGAACCATTTCCTAAATATTTGGAGCTCCAGCCATCATCCAAGACAGGACAATATCCAATACCACAGTGGCACCACCCAGGACAGGTCATCCTATCAAATCTTCCCAAGAAGAACCTGAAAAATCATCCAGAAGTCACAAAGGCCTTTGTATTAACATGTGGGGATCTGCTTGACTCTCTCACTGCATGTCAGGGCTCATACCTCAGCCACCAGGAAAAGACTGAATGGGAATGGTTTTCATGGTAAGACAGCCAGGAAGAAACCGCTGCTCTCTAACAAGAGCATGGCTCACTGTCTCAAGTTCTCTAGAGAGCAACTGAATGATCCTCGAGACTTTGGGAAATATGTTTTCTGGACAGATGGGGAAATTTGAAATTTCTGGTCACAAAGGGAAATGTTTTGTGTGGCAAAAACCAGACACTTCTAGCAGGAAAGACAATGCCTTTCAACAGCAGAACCTCACCCCAGCCAGCACAGGTTGGGGCTGCTTTGCTGCCTCAGGGCCCCAAAGGCTTGTTGTCACTGACAGAAACATGGTGATGTATCAGCACATTGTGGGGTAAGTCATGCAGCAGGAAAATGACCCTAAACATACCGGGAGATCTACAATGCAATTGTTTGAGAAGAAGAAATATGACATTCTGGAGACTTAAACTCCATTGAAATGATATGGCAGGACCTGAAGTAAGGTTTTCATACAATCAATTCCTAAAATGTCATTAACACAGTTAGCATCTGTCATTAAGAAGGTCTATATGAAAGAATGGGCCCCAAATTAAAAGAGACTTATAAAGAGTTACAGGTTTCTCAAGGAGGGGTCACCACTTACTGAATCTAAGGGGCTCATATACTAATTCACAAGAGAATATTCGCCATTGGATCATTTTGATACTAAGATAATCCTGTTCTACCTTATGTCTTTGTGTTCTAGGTTTAATGAGGTTATCTTAACTGTTTATTACAACTTCTATGAAGGTCTAAATACGTTTTAGGCCTAACATATATGAGAATACGAACTCACCTAGGGGGTTCACAATCAAACAGAATTATTGCTCAGCACTGTCAGCTTCAGACTCTGTTGCAGGGTACATACTGTAGGGACAGAGGGTGACAGCACGTCTAACTGTACTGGGTATGAGTTTAACTTTGGGCAGCATTTAACAGAAAAAGCACTAAAACCATCAGTATTTGAACTGAAAAAGAAAGTCTCCTGTAAATGAAGATAGATGCAAAAAAGCCTATGGGGAAAACATAATTTTATAAAACTGAGATCAGTGGGAAGGTAATTCAATAACAGGAGCTGGAAAACAGATGTTGGCCTTTTGAAGACTGGGCTTTTTACTTCACATCTTATTTTCTCGCACTTTCACTGCCTCGTGGGACTGTCTGTGTCTGTGCTCAGAGGGAAGATGGCTTTCTGTAAGCATCAGCTCGTCGACACTGTCTCCAGGAAAGCCCGGGCGAACAGTGGTCTTGTGATCTTCTGCAAGGGAATACACGAAGGCCAAGTCAAGCCTACTACTGCCTTCCTGTAGTGTGACTCAAAATTTGTCATGACTTCCTTGTTCCGACATTACACCTGAGTACTGTACCTACGGTAACAGCCTGAAGTTGTGAGGGGAAGGGGGGGGGGGGGTTCTAATACTTACCAGGCTGTCGACACCACCCAGTGTATGATTGGCATTATAGAGAGAGTAAGTCAGCTGGTACACTCCATCATTCGTCTCACTGTTCCCATAGAACCCAACTCCAACCGCGGCGCTGCAGACAAGAAAGAACATGACCATTAGTTTCCCTTCTTTTTTTCTCCCTCCGGAGGATGAGGAAGTTTATCTGATGCAGGCTTATGGTGATGTTTTTTCCGGAATAAACTTTTCATTGACTGTCTGCGCTATAGATAAACAGGACGGGAAAACTGTACTGCGCGTCCTTCCACGCACCACAGGTACTGACCGAAACAAAACAGAGCCAGAAACAAGACAACAGTGTCATTTGTGCGTAAAAGCAAACGCAAAAGTTGTTGTGCGTCTTCAGGGTATACTGTACAGTGTCTGATCCCAGAGGCCTGTGACCCTCTTTCACCTACCGTACCGATCATGCTCTTGGGTTTCTACTTCCTGTCTTTCAAGCAATACTGAAATTCCTTAATGCTGTGCAACATCCTAGCACTTAATTAAAGCTTTGTTGTTGTCGTTGTTATTTTCTGTGGTTTTGTTGTTGTTTTTCCTGCTCTCCTGGTTATGCACCCCTTGCATCTTGACCAGATGCAATTATAAGTCGCACTGGATACAAGTGTCAGCCAGATGAAGAAACCTTTAAGCTAATTTGAAGACCCCTCTCAGGACCAGGACTTCATTGAAACCTCCGAAAATAACAACAAGTTCAGAAAATGAGACAGATGAAACTGATCCGAGAGAAAAGAAGCAAGACTGATACGAAAGTCCAGGAATAATGGGCAAGGTAATGGTGGTGAGAACCATGAACACTATATTTATATGCTGGAGCGCCATGTTGTTATTCGCCTCTCCTATAAAAACAGAAAGGATACAAACTGAAAATATTTTCACACGGCTGAATGAAACCTTACGCAATGTCTCCTGAATATTTGTCAGCATGCCCATCTTGATAAAGTGCCGTGAATAAATAAGTATAAAAATAACCAAAAGCCAATTTTTTCTTTCAAACTGTTTTCTGTTTAACCATGAATAGGTCCTGTGTTCCCCCTGTGATTGAACTGTTTTAGCTTTAGAATTCTCTTCAGTCCAAGGCAGACATGAAACAGACAATGTTCATGGATGCCGCTTTATAAATAAGGTAATAAATGAGCAATTAGCCTTGAGTAATACATTTACAAAGGATTTATACAGACCTACCTTCAGATAAAAATTAAGTTAAGTAACTGTGCTGGTTTTATTTATTTGAACAAATCTCTTAATTAAAATTTTACTTTCCAGGGGCTTGAAACTACTATAAACAAGCAACTCAGCTGTATTATATGAGAGTTACTACTGGACAAGGTGAGTGACAGTCTAGAGATGACCTGCAAATAAATCCCAGGTTCTGAATAATTTACGTGCTTTGCAACTCCTCATCTGAGTTAAAGTTTGGGAAGCACATCCAATTACAAACAATTTGGACAGGAACAACCACACAGAGGAATGCATTTTAATGGAAATATTAGTATCGAAGAAACTCACACATGCACTTCTGCAGTCTGGTATGCTGTCTGCTGACGTCTTAGAGCATAGCAAGCCTATCCACTGTCAGCAGCAAAACTGCGGAGAGTTTGCCAGTCGATAAAATGACTGTAGATATTCTATTGGTGAAACTGGTGGGTTTCAGTATTGTCTGAGGCCTCTCAAAAGCAGTGATTGTTTGATTTAAGGCTTTAAAGAAAAATGGGAAGCTCCCAGTTTTACAACAGTAATATCTGGAAACATCTTGAAGGGCTTGCCTGCCATCTGTTCGATTTTATTTTTGCCTTAAATCAAAATAAGAGTTTTATGGCACTTCTGTGCTAAAGAGGGTTCCACATTCATTTAGTCTACACATGCCTAACAGTAGAGAACTTACATATTACAGTAAGTTCTCTACTGTTCTCTACTGAAAACAGAGTAGGGGAAATGAGATCACATTTATGCTGAAAAGGGCTGAAAATAAAGAACTTTAAATCACTTTGTACCATAGGGACAGCATGATACCACATTACAGCCCAATAAAGACTGCTGGGTCTTTAACAAGCTTCTAACATCGTAATTCAAAATGAGAGTCAGGATTTTTTCCATGTACAAACAGGAGAATCCAGTGAGCTCCCTAGGGCCAGTCCCTTCTCCACACTGCTGATAATTAGCTTAAGTGTACATTATCAGAGGCCATGTGTTAGCCCCGGTGGGAGATCATCGACAAAACAGCCCACCCACTATTTACCGTGGCACAGATGAGGGGTGCAGGTGCCTGGTGGTCTGCAACTGGCCATTTCCAGAAACAGATCGAGACGAATGAGGTCCTGACTGCTCCTGTCCTGCTCAGTCAAATTAGTATTCACTCCGATCGCCTTCATTACTGCTCTCCTCGTACTCGACTGAGTCCCAGACAGAATGGCTGGCAAAGTATCTAAGCGAAGCTTATCACTCTTCTCCACACTGCCTGCTGTATGCAAATGGCGCTTTATCTGAGCCCGGCACTTTCAGTTATTATCCGGCGTGAGAGCGCGTGCGTGCATGTAATCTCTGTTCTCCATTCACCGGACCAATGCAGCACAGGGGCTGGAACTGGTGCAGAAGGAAGATGAAGGGTCTAGTTCCCAGGCCTCAACACAAAGCCTTCGCTCTGCAGATATTTTAATGTTATTTGCAGTTTAATAGTAATGGGAATTGGTGTAACTATGGCTCAGAACCTAAGCAGGGATACTCAAGAACAGCAAAGGTATTAATTAGGGCTTTACAGACATAACAAAAGATTGCGATTCAAATACTATGATGACACTGGACTATACATACTGATTTCATTATTTTAATCCACTCGTTTTTCACGCAAAACATACATCACAAACAAAGAAGTAAGATTTCTAGAATATAATGACTTGCTTTAACGAGTATGGTTTACCCCAGTGTAGAGCATTGGTTAGGGTGCTGGACACATATTTGAAAATTTATGGGTTCAAAAACCATGTGAGACACTGCTGTTGTATATTTGAGCATGAGCACCAATGCACTTCAACCAAATTGCTCCACTAAAATACCCAGCTGTATAAAAACATCCTCCTAAGAAATTAAGCAGCATAGTAATAATAAAAACAGATGGTAACACCCAAGGATGGTAAATGTGGGGATTTCCATCAGGACAAAATGTTTAGTCTAGACTCCCAGAGCATACAAGTGACTTTTTGTGTGACTTTTCTCCTCTGCCTCTTATTATGGTTCTTATGAGAGTCCTGACACCTGAATGAGGCTCCACAGCTTCAACCACTGCATGATGGAGCTTATCAATACTCCTGCAAATGCTGCAGCTTTTGCAGCTCAGGTGTTTTGCATCTCAGCTGAAGAAAAAAAACAGAATGGCACCCAGAGCATCACATCCCGTGATGGTTTCTAACGTTGAAAACATGACCGTATGAGCACCATCAGTAACGAGAATTACTCCTTCATTAGAGAGAGCTCACTTTATTACCCATATACAATTTCTTGCATTAGGAATTTGTCTTTTTGCACACCCCAACTTGCTCTCCACGAGACACACAGGCACAGAGATAGGAAGAGAGAAGCTTGGGGTCAGAGCGCAGGGTCAGCCACTTATACAGCGCCCCTGTAGCAGCTGGGGCTAAGGGCCTTTGCTCAGGGGCCCAACAGAGTAGGATTCCTCTGCAGGCCATGGGATTTGAACTGGTAACCTTAACCTTAGCCACAGCGCAACCACTCCGCCTGTCTCATTAGTCTTGTTAGAAGACTGCCCTGGCATTTATTTGATGGTGCATTTGACCAAATGTGACCCAGCAACACACAAGTTACATAAGTCCTCAATAAGAGCCTTCCAATGGCCCACAGCGGGCACCAAAGACTGACGCAGTCTCTGTGCTTGTGGAGTTTGTGATAGATGGCAAAGACCAGCATCTTTAAGCCTTGTACCTGGAGGCTACGAGTGCTGCATTAACATCCTCAAAATCACACTTCACTTTGCACTTGAAGAAAAGCTGAACACAGACCGTGACAAAAGGCTTTCATCTTTCTATATTTAGATCAGGCAGGAAAAAATGAGAAAACTTAGGAGACTAATCTGGATGAAAAAATAAAAGAGATTGTTGTGCAGCAACCAAATCTTTACACAGCTGAAGGCTTCTTTAAAATGCAAGGAATGTCCTTCTAAAACATGAAACTGGAAGATATTCTGCAGAGGGGAATTTAGTCATCGGCAGAACTTTTGTATTAGTATGGTTAGTTTATGCATGGAAGTCTACACTTTGCCAGAACATTTTTGGGATGCTTTCAAAGGGGTAAAAACATACACCCCACTTCAAATGACAGGTATGTGGCAAATGAATGCAATGCTTTCAAATGACAAGATTAGGAGCAGGAACAGGTAACGCAGGAAGGAAGAAAACATGAATTAATAGCGATGATGACCAGTTTCAAGACGGAAATTGCCTTAGCCACGGTTTTCTTTGATTTACATTAGCCTAGATTTATTTTGTAGTAAAACAATTTAACTGAATGGTTTAGCTGCCTATTGCTGGGATGCAGAGTTATAAAATATTTACTGACTAAAGTTTTGTAAAAGGCATATTCTTTGGTACAGCTCCAAGGATATTCATCCTACCCTACCTTATACAGATATTTTCCCTAAAGCAAATTCCCCAAACTCCTTTAATTTCCTTAGGCACTGTTGCTCTGTGCGTGTCCCCAGCAGGGTCAAAGCTGAGACAGCTAGGGGATTAAGGCATTTGCATCATCACAGTGGCATGACACTCCGTAAAAGAGAAATAGACATTAATGCTAATCAACCATATCAAAGCCTCAATAGCCTTCTGATAGAGCTTATACCCTACCTTGCAAACTGCATTGGCAGAGCTCTTTATAAAGGACTCATACATCGCTTGTAGGCATTGTAGTGTCCTCATATCAAATACAACAACAAAGCACTCAGACGAAAGGGTCCGAAAAGGCAGGACACTGAATCTATTCTCATATCTATGAAAGAACAGTGATGCACCTCAGTAGTCCATTCCAGTTTGTGTTATTATTTCACCAACTACAATTTTATTACTT